CAGAATGACAGCTGAAGAAAGGGACAAATTCCCTACCGGTCAGCACTGTCCCCAGTATAGATCCCCACTGGGACCCTGACTCAAGATCATGGGGACTGGAGTCATAAACATCTGTTGACCTGTGTTCAAGAAGGACTAAGGAGAATTAGGAAAAAGTTCATGAATTATTCAATGATGTCCACTATAACTCAGGGAAAGGAAGAAAATCCTTCTGCCTTCCTCGAGAGGCTATGGGAGGCCTTAAGAAAATATACTCCCCTGTCACCTGACTCACTCGAGGGTCAGTTGATCCTTAAAGATAAGTTGATTATCCAATTAGCCGCAGATATCAGAAGAAAGCTCCAAAAGTGAGCCCTGGGCCCTGAACCAAATCTGGAGGCATTATTAAATGTGGCAACGTTGGTGTTCTATAATCAGGTCCAAGAGGAACAGGTCCAAAGCAAAAGCAAGATCAGAGAAAGGCCACAGCCTTAGTCATGGCCCTCAGACAAACAAACCTTGGTGGTTCAGAGATGACAGAAAAGGGAGCAGGACAATCACCCAGTGGGACTTGTTACCAGTGTGGTTTGCAAGGACACCTTAAAAAAGATATTCCAATGAGAAGCCGCCCCCTCGTCCATGTCTGCTATGCCAACGCAATCACTGGAAGGTGCACTGCCCCAGAGAACAAAGGTTCTCTGTGCCAGAAGCCTGCAACCAGATGATCCAACAACAGGACTGAGGGTGCCCAGGGCAAGCACCTGCTCATGTCATCACCCTCACTGAGCCCTGGGTACGTTTAACCATTGAGGGCCAGGAAATTGACATCCTCCTGGACACTGGCACAGCTTTCTCAGGGTTAATCTCCTGTCCTGGACAGCTGTCCTCAAGGTCCGTTACCATCCAAGGAATCCTCAGACAGCCTGTAACCAGGTATTTTCCCCACCTCCTCAGCTGTAATTGTGAGACTTTGTTACAGATAGTAAGTATGCTTATCTAATCCTACATGCCCATGCTGCAATATGGAAAGAAAGGGAGTTTCTAACCTCTGGGGGAACCCCCATTAAATACCACAAGGAAATCATGGAGTTATTGCACACAGTGTAAAAACCCAAGGAGGTAGCAGTCTTACACTGCCAAAGCCATCAGAAAGGTGAAGGAGAAAAGGCAGAAGGAAACTGTCGGGCAGATGCTAAGGTCAAAATTGCTGCCAAGAAGAACCTCCCATTAGAAATACCTAGAGAAGGACCCTTGGTATGGAGCAACCCCCTCCAAGAGATTAAGCCCCAGTATTTCCCGACTGAAACAGAATGGGGACTTTCACGGGGGCATAGTTTTCTCCCCTTAGGGTGGTTAATGACAGAAGAAGGAAAGGTACTTATACCCAAAGCTAGCCAGTGGAAAATACTTAAAACCCTCCACCAAACTTTTCATATGGGTACTGAAAACACTCATCAAATGGCCAAATCCCTATTTACAGGACCGAATTTCCTCCGGACCATCCGACAGGTAGTCAAAGCATGTGAGGTGTGCCAAAGGAATAATCCCTTGGTCCATCCTCAGGCACCTTTCGGGGAACAAAGAATAGGTCACTATCCCGGAGAGGACTGGCAGTTAGACTTCCACCCATATGCCTATGTCAAAGGGGTTTCAATAATTGTTGGTCTGTGTTGATACCTTTACAAATTGGATAGAAGCTTTCCCCTGCAAGACAGAGAAGGCTCAGGAAGTGATTAAAGTCCTAATTTATGAAATAATTCCTAGATTTGGGCTTCCCCAAAGCTTACAGAGTGACAATGGTCCAGCTTGTAAAGCCACGATAACCCAGGGAATTTCCAGGGCACTAGGGATACAATATCACCTTCACTGTGCCTGGAGGCCACAATCCTCAGGCAAGGTCGAGAAGGCAAATAAAACACTCAAGAGGCACTTAAGGAAACTAACACAAGAAACTCCTCTCCCATGGCTTACTCTTTTGCCCATGGCATTGTTGAGAATCCAAAATTCTCCTCACAAAATGGGGCTCAGTCCATATGAAATGCTGTATGGACAACCTTTCCTCATAAATGACCTGCTACTGGATCAGGAAAAGGCCAACTTGGTCAAAGATGTAACTTCTTTGGCAAAGTATCAACGAAACCTTAAAAACCTACCTGAATGATGTCACAGAGAAAAGGGAACAGAGTTGTTTCAACCAGGAGCTCTAGTGTTGGTTAAATCTCTCCCCTCTACCTCCCGATCTATGAATTCTTTGTGGTAAGGACCATACTCGGTAATCCTCTCTACTCCCACTGCAATTAAGGTGGCAGGAGTGGAATCTTGGGTTCACCACACCCCAGTTAAATTTTGGATACCCCTGAGAAACCTGCAGAACCATCAGCTCAGGAGTCCCAAGATCAGCCAGACCAGCCTCGATACACCTGCAAACCACTGGAGGACTTGCATCTCCTATTTCGGAAGGAAACATCCCAGACTAAAAAGGCTCCTATCACTGATCCTGAGGAAGAAAAACCCCTTCCTCCTTAAAAAAGATAAGTGAAAATCTACATAATCTTTAACACCTTTAATGGAATCCTTTTGCTATTTCATCATATTATTAAGCAGCATACTAACCATACTCTTTGCCATAGGACTACATACCATAGCCAAATGAGTTCAACTAACAACTTCTACCAAGGACCCCTGGATCGACCTGCTGGCCCTTTCACTGGCCTAAAGAGTTTCCCTCTGGAGGACACTACAACTGCAGGGCCCCTACTTTGCCCCTATCCAGCAGGAAGTAGCTAGAGCCGGTCATCGCCCAATTCCCAGCAGCATTTGGGGTGTCCTGTTTGGAGGGGGGATTGAGAGGTGAAGCCAGCTGGACTTCCTGGGTTGAGTGGGGACTTGGAGAACTTTTCTGTTAGCTCCAGGATTGTAAATGCACCAATCAGCACTCTAAAAACGCACCAATCAATGCTCTGTGTCTAGCTAAAGGACTGTAAATGCAGTGATCAGCACTCTAAAAACACACCAATCAGTGCTCTGTGTCTAGCTAAAGGATTGTAAATGCACGAATCAGCACTCTGTAAAAATGCACCAATCAGTGCTCTGTGTCTAGCTAAAGGACTGTAAACGCACCAATCAGCACTCTATTAAATGGACCAATCAGCACTCTGTAAAATGGACCAATCAGCAGGACATGGGCAGGGCCAAATAAGGGAATAAAAGCTGTCCACCTGAGCCAGCAGCAGCAACCGCTCAGGTCCCCTTCCAAGCTGTGGAAGCTTTGTTCTTTCATTCTTCACAATAAATCTTGCTGCTGCTCACTCTTTGGGTCCACACTACCTTTATGAGCTGTAACACTCACTGCAGAGGTCTGCAGCTTCATTCCTGAAGTCAGCGAGACCACGAACCCACTGGGACAAACAACCAACTCTGGACGCGCCACCTTTAAGAGCTGTAACACTCTTTGAGAAGGTCTGCAACTTCACTCCTGAAGTCAACAAGACCACGAACTCACCAGGAGGAACCGATAACTCTGGACGCGGCACCTTTAAGAGCTGTAACACTCACTGCGAAGGTCTGTGGCTTCATTCCTTCAGTCAGCAAGACCGAGAACCCACCGGAAGGAAGAAACTCTGGACACATCTGAAGGAACAAACTCCGGACACACCATCTTTAAGAACTGTAACATTCACTGCAAGGGTCCATAGCTTCATTCTTGAAGTTGGCGAGACCAAGAACCCACTGGAAGGAACCAATTCTGGACACACTTCAACTTCAGCACGCTCCATCTGGATAAAGGCTACTACCATAGAGCCAGGGTCTCCAGCCAGACCTAAATAGTTATCCTTGATTCCTCTTTCTCCTCCTCCCTCTGGCTGTCCTTCCCCAGGCAACCTTACAAGTCTGTTGATTCAAACGCTGAAATATATTTTGAATCTATTCCTTTCTCACCTGCTTTGGTGCTATCACTTTAGGCCAACCCACCACCACTTCCCACTTAAATCACCACAAACTACTCCTAACTCATCTCTTTTCACTTACTGCACTCCTTTCTCTATGCTGGAGCAGAACTGAGTTTTTCAGAACAGAAACCTAGAAAGCCACTCTTTGCTTAAAACTGTCGCTTCAATAACTTTTCCCTGAACTCAGAAAGCAATTCAAACTCTTTAATCTGGTCTACAAAGCTTAACTGACCTGGCCTCAGCCTCCTTCTCGCACTTTCTTTCCACTCTCTAGACCCAGTGAAACCTTGTATATACCTTTCCATCTTCCTGGAACGTTCATTTCTCAGCTACATGCCTAGCTCTTTCTGTTCCTTGTAAGTCCTAGCTTAAAGAAACGTTTTCAGAGAAGCCTATCTTCAAGTCAGCAGCTTTTTGCACTGTTCTCTATTACCAGGTTGTTTTTCCTTTGGTAGAACATTTTGCAACTTGCAGTTTTTTAAATTTAATTTTATTTTATTTGCCTGTTCACTTGTTTGTATTTGCTGTCTCCTAACTTTGGGAGAGGAAGCAAGACAGTCTCTAATCTTGTTCATCGCTGTGCCTCTAGTATTTGACACACTGAGACTCAATACATTATTGTTACTTAAAATGCAATTTAGTTTTATATATAAATATATAAAAGGTATAAAAAGGAGAATCAAGACTAAACAGATATTTACCTCATGCTCATTTAAATGGGAAAAATGAAATATTCTTTAAAATGCTTAATTGCACATGTAGTTCCACAGTATTTTTTCTTAAAGCTTAGCAAACAAAAACAAAATATAGAATGCTGAAGTACAATTTATAAATAAAAATGTTAAGAAAGAAAACAGGAGCCATAACCTGGGACTTATATTTTCCTAGTAATGATTAGGTACTCTTTTTTTCTAAAATTAAAAATGAATAGATTGAGCAGACCAATTAATTATAAATATATAACTAGTTGAATTAGGTAATATCTCATTGATGTTTATAGCAGGTTAAAAGCTTAAAATTGCATCTACCCACATATCTATAAATTTAAGTACAATTACAAAAAAATTTTACCAGAATCTGTGCATCCTGCAATTGTTGACACTGCACGTGAAGAATAAATGGTTCAAATTTCAAAGTGGCATCACCATTTGCTTTCTTCAGAGCTACAATCTAAATAAATGAAAAGTGGTATCAGACACAAGCCTATGGCTTGTCCTTTGATTACCCTTTACCCCATACATAACTTCAATTTCTCTTAGAAATTTTCAGAATCACTCAGCGTATTTTTTTTCTGCAATAACGTTTCCCTCTGCTTTCTTGGTTCTTTTTCACCCAAAATTTGTTCATTTTCTTAAAATTTCTAGTTCTCCCATAAATCTTCTATACCATTATTTCCATCTATTAGTGTACTTTGAAGAAGTAAACTACTACTTTATTTAATTCTGTAACAGATCTTTCATTAAGGAATGGAGTATAAAAACTGTATTAGGATTGTTTAAATTTTCTGTTAGATTGAGATACAGAGAAATGTAATGTAAGAGAAGGGTCCAAACAAAGCCTAACTGCCCCCCATGTTCCCAAGAAGCATTCTGTACCAAGCACCAGTGCTTACCAGCAGCACTATTAAGCTCACAAATAGCCGTCCATGCAAAGAGCTCAGTGCACAGCCAGCAAGTTCCTGTTCCCTCTGTAATAGGCACACATACAATTCCCTTGGAACTGCTTAGCTACATGAGAACAAATGGCCCCTGAGCATGTTCCTAGCTTTCTGTATTTCAGACCCTATGGGGTAGTGGTCAGGGTCTGGGGGCTACTGCAGCACAAAGTGGGGTACATGCCATCACTCTGCCCTGATCAGCTGTGGAACCAATCTGCTAGCCATGGGGACTGATACATTGAAGGGCTAGATCTTGTGTACTCTCTTTCCTCCTGCTGTAAGCGAATGTTACAACACTTGACCCTAGCACGCGTGTTTGTTGTTGTTAGTGACCTTAAGTCATGTACTAGTCTCTTCCCTAGGTAGCACTTGCCTGCCTTTTAACTTTGGCTGCACCGATGTTACAGTGCATCCGGCGGCATAGTCTGACCACCTAGTGAAACATGTAATATTGTGTCTGAGCTATAATTTATACAAGACAGTTATTATTTCTGTCTGCCCTGTATCCCTGGGCAACATCGTCCCTCCTTCACGCCATTTGATTTCTGGTAGGGCTGTCAATCATTACCCTGTCACACATCACTCTCCCTATCACAGTATCAGAGGTGCCAAGTGCTTGCTTATGTCTGATCAAGGATATTATTATAGTCCACTAGCAAAATTAATTGACCTAATGTAAGCAGGACAACTCCGAGTCCTCCTCTAGGATGAACACATGAATTGCAGGAAAAAGAATTCTTTTTCTACTGGTGTTGCTGGCAGCTACCATTTCTGCAACAAAGATTATCTGCAGCAGAAGAGAATAAAGGCACATTGCAAAGAGAACCACTGCCCAAAGACGGAGATGAAGTGGGTACTCAGAAGATAAGATTTGAACATCTGAATCAGCAATACTTGATTCAAGCTCCATCCGTCCTTTCCAGTTAAATAATCTTTTTTGCTTAAAACAGAATTGGATTTGTAAATTCACTGGGAATGAAAGGTGCCTGGCTGATAAAAACTTATGAATTCATCTAAACTCCTTACCTTAGGAAACTAAATAACCTAGCAGAGATATGAAGATTTTCAAAAAGCAGTGCAGGTAAGTCACGTATAATTTATTTATATCAGTAAAGCTGGTAACACAGAGATAATGCTAATCCCCTTCTCTTTCTATAATTTGTTCTAGGTTACAGGGTTATCAAATAGCAGAATTAAAATTCAAAATTTGGATCCAGTAGGTGTCCAATATCTATGAACTTTCTGCTATGTCCAAGAGGATGTGTTGAGTAGCAGTAAGTAATGCTTCCATACTTTTATCTCCTACAACCCAAAAAAAGTCATTGTAATGAAAGCTCTCTAGGTTTCATAATCTTCAGCCATTATAATTCTGCATATAAATTACTTTGAATTTTCTATTCTTGTCATATGTATTTAAAGTACCTGAATTTAAAAGTTTATTTCCAAAACTTACCACATCATCTTTTTCACAAGGTTTGTGTGTAACTAGTAGCCAGCCACAGTTTTGTTTCTGAACCTCAAAACCATTTATACCCTAAAATAAAAAGTAACATAATTTGTTAATCATACAATATTTTACAAAAATAATAAGCATAATGTATAGCATGTTGTAGGCTTTCTTAAACTAATAATCCCAAGTTAGGATTTTAAGTATTAATAAAAACAATTCGGTATTTTTTGGGTAATGTTAACCCAGAATAAGAATGAGCCCAAATAACCTGAGGTAGAAAATTATTTGAAAGGTAAAACTACTTGATAAACATCTTCTGAAATACGGTCATGATTTTACAACAAGAAAAGGGATTAGTACAAGGGATAATACTAGCAGCACCTGAGTTGTACTCTATTTGGCTAGCACAGTATTTAAAAAATGAAATAAAAAAAAGAATTTTAATTCCTTTTGTAGGACAGCACTGTCCTAATTCCACACAAGACCTACTACCCTTAATTGTACCTATGCCATTTACACATTTATAATACTTTCTTAGTTTCTAGAGGCATAAATTCGTGACCTCTGAATTAGACTGCATATGTAGTCCTGAAGGATGGGGCTAAGACTGAAAGGCCAAAATTTCAAGAAGGCAAACATGTTAATACTAACTTAAATTTGACAAATGTTTATTTGCAAAGTTCTATTAGGTACTTTGGGTATACATAGAACCTACCCCTCAAGGACACTGGAAAGAGGATGCAGGAAACCACATGAACAGAAATCACTATACTCAAAGTAACTATAATTCATACGATGGATCCACAAAAGACTCTGCTGTCTGGCCTTGGAACGGGGAATTGCTATGCATGTCCTAAGTAAATATTCTGACTTCATTGTATGACTTTGGTGATGATGACTTATGTATCTGATGTTGTGCTGGCTACTCTAAATCTTAGAGCCAAATATATGGCCCACTTCTAGCCACTTCACAGGATCTAATGGTAGGATTGGAAACTAATGCCATCACTGACTTCATCTTATTTATATTTTCTTTATTCAGATTTTCCCACTTTTTATTTTTTTGTGTGTGTTGCCTGTTTGTAAGTTGCCCAAAATCCTTACTGAAATAAGGCAGATTTTAAAATAAACTATAATACAAGGTGTAAGATGAGAAATAAAAGTCTAACCAGTTCAGAAGCAGTCATTATTCCCAAGTAGGTAGTATGGGTTTGTGAGTGTGTTCAAGTGGGAGAGTGGAGTTTTTGGAATCATGCCTCAGATATGCAGAGATGGGAAAACATTTCAGGAAAAAAAAAAAAAAAAAAAAAAAACACCCAAAAACGTGAGCAAAAGCAAACAAATACAAGATGACAAAGAACAGTTCAGTTTCAGCAACTAGCTAAAGATGAAGTGAAAGCAATGAAAAAAAAAGGTTGAAAGGTATACTAGAGTAAGCATTTGGATATTCCGATGTAGAAAAATGTGTAATAAAATCCAACACAGGTGAGAGATAAGCAGAGTTGTGATTTGTCAAACATGGTTTGGAGAAGAGCAGTTAAGTGGCTTGTTAGGGAATCATTGCAAAAGTCAAGGTGAGACAGAGTTGTGGAAATGGGGCAAGTGAGAGTGTGTGGCAAGAATGCCATTGCTCTGGAGGTAATGGAAGTGATTTAAAAATGAACAGGCCCTGCTAACTTGAGAGATGAGCAAATAAATGATCAGTCAATAATGGACCTAAAGAATGAGCCCAATAATGTGCTGTCTTCCATGCTGTTAACCTAATATTACGAATAAAATCAGTACACAGCCAACCTTTTCAGTGCATGGGCCAGGCACAATGCCAAATATTTCAAATAAATTATCCTATTTTCCCCACATAAAATCCCTATAAAGCAGATACTTTTTATTACCCTCAGAATTTTTGGATTTCTGGATACTCTGATTTTGGTTTTGATTTTGGTTTTGTGCAAACTGCAAAAGTGTGCGTGTGCCCTTTTTACTCGTTCTCTGTTTTGTGGTGTGCGTGTGGTGTGAGCGTGGTGTTTTGTCTTGAAGAAGCGTAGGTCAGGCACAAATAAGTCCACCCTACTAGGAACCATGTTGAAAATTTTGAAAAAACCATTTAAAGGAGACTGTGGAGTACTATGACACCAGGAAAACTTAAAACTTTGTGTAAGATAGACTGGCCAGCATTAGAGGTAGGTTGGCCATTAGAAGGAAGCCTGGGCTGGGCACAGTGGCTCACGCCTGTAATCCCAGCACTTTGGGAGGTCAAGGTGGGTGGATCACGAGGTCAGGAGATCGAGACTATCCTGGCTAACACGGTGAAACCCCGTCTCTATTAAAAATTCAAAAAAATTAGCCACGTGCAATGGCGGGCACCTGTGGTCCCAGCTACTCGGGAGGTTGAGGCAGAAGAATGACATGAACCCGGGAGGTGGAGCTTGCAGCGAGCCGAGATCTCACCACTGCACTCCAGCCTGGGCGACAGAGAGAGACTCTGTCTCAAAAAGAAAGAAAAAAAAAAAAAAAAGAAGGAAGCCTGGACAGGTCCCTTGTTTTAAAGGTATGGCACAAGGTAACCTGTAAGCCAAGGAACCCAGACCAATTACTGTACTTAGACACTTGGTTACAGCTGGTTTTAGACCCCCTGCCCCCAACACACAGTGGTTTAGAGAACAGCAGCATAAACAGCTGGCAGAGGCAAGGAAAGATCAGCAGAGAGAAAGAAAGGAAAGAGGCAGAGAGGAAAAGAGGCAAAGAGAGAGGAAGAGACAGACAAAGAGGGAGTTGAGGAGAGAGAGAAAGAAAGAGAATGGCAGAGAGAGAATGGCAGAGACAGAGAAGAGATGGAGGCAAAAGGAAAGTCAAAGAGAGAGAACAAAGTCAAAGAGAGAAAGAACGAGAGATATACAAGTAGTTAAAAAAAAAAAAAGAAGTGTACCTTATTCCTTTGAAAGTCAAGGTAAATTTAAAACCTATAATTAATAATTGAAGGTATTCTCTGTAACCCTATAACCCTCCAATACCACTTTGTTGTCAGTGTAAACAAGGGCATATCCCGAAAGCACTGAGGCTTTCCTATCAAAAATCCTTAACCCAGTAACCCATGGATGGCCCAAATGCATTCAATCTGTAGCGGCAACTGTTTTGCTAACAAAAGAAAAAGAAACCAAGGGGGGGGGGATTTATATAAAAAGAATGTTATATAGTAAATTCTTGTCCTGAAATAAATTAACTGGTTGTTTAAAGAAAGAAATGTTTGTAATAAGTCAGAAAGTTAAAGCATGTCGAAAAATTGCCTGTAAAAGTCATGAAAGAAAAAAAGGTTATTAAAAAAAGTTATAAAAAAGAATTTATGCAAAAAATGTTGTATAATTTAAATGTAACTAAGCCTTCTGAATGTAAAACTACGGGAGAATAAAACAGTTTATATGCAAGGTGTATTAGAAAAATAAAATATATCTTTGGTAAAAGGATTATAAGATGGCATAAGAATGTACATTTTTACCTACATTAAAAACTTTTTAAAAAATTATTGTTTTGAAGGTTTAAGCAAGTTTTAAAATATTAATTGTAAAGAAAATTCTGTGTGTAAACATATTAGTTAAAGTTAAAGAAGTATCATCCAGTTTTTCTGTGAACTGGACATTAAAGTAAAAGCATAACACATTTTTCTTAAAGCACCAACCTGCTCTTTAGCAAATATTATAAAAGGTTAAAAAGACTCTACAAAATCTTACCTTATGGTCAAACATTAAAAATTAGATAAATATGTCTACAAAGTTTTATTACAATTATGTTTAACATTAACAACCCACTAATATAAAGATAAAATTTAGCTTATCTCATATAAAAATCATATGAGAAGCACTGTTAAAGGTAAAATGGTATTTGGCTTTCTTTGGTTTAAAAACTAATAAAAATAGGTGCTAAAGGAAATTTCTCAGTAAAAAGGCATTAAGGACCATGAAGTCCACTGCCAAGGTCCCCACATTTGAAACAAAAGGTCAATTTCTTAAACATTATATACTTAGTTTATCTTCCACTTTCCTTTGTCTCAAAAAAAAAAAAAAAAAAAAAAAAAAAAACCCACACTAAAAGTCTTTTAGCACATGTACCACCCCTAGAATTTCTGGTAAACCAGCACCAGCCTGAAGATCACGTTCTCATCTAAAGGTGGAAAGAAGAAAAACTTGAACCAGCCTGGGAAGGACCCTACCTTGTGCTGCTAACCACCAAGACTGCTGTTCATACAGCAAAAAAATGGACTCATCACACCCAAGTCAAGAAAGCACCACCCGCTCCAGAGTCGTGGGCTATAGTCCCAGGGGAAAACCCTACCACATTAAAGCTAAGAAAAATTTAACTCTTTTCATCTATTCTATTACTCTTTATTCTTTCCTTGTTCTACTGCTGACCATCTAGTTATTAACATAACCAAGTCAATTTCAGCTCAAACTACTACATTTAATGCTTGCCTTGTTATACCCTGTGGGGACTTGCCAAGTCAAAGACAGCTTTCTACTTCAGAAAAGTACTTCTGTTCTCCTGACTCTCCTCAGACTGGCCATTAGTAAACTAGGACCATTTAATCCAGGGAGATTTCGATAAAGACCCCAGTGCCAACCAGGAGTCTTGCCCCCCGATGTAGTCTCCATAGTTGGTCCAAAGTTCGGTGGACCACTAAAGAGCAAGGATGGACTGCCCCAACTGGATTTTGTAATTTCCTAAAACCATATATTCATTTTACTAGAGGATCACAGAAGTTAAAGACTTAAAACAAACTTTAGCAATTAAGACTGGGTACCAAGATGCAAACGCCTGGTTAAAATGGATCAAATATTCCATTTGCACATTAAACAAAAGCAATTTTTACGCTTGTGCACATGGCAGGCCAGAGGCCAAGACTGTCCCCTTTCCACTAAGGTGGTCCTCCAGTCAACCAGGTGTGGACTGCACGGTAGCTCTTTTCCAGGATTCTACAGCCTGGAGTAATAAGTCATGCCAAGCTCTCTCGCTATATCCCAAAGTCCAGCACCCCACGGGTCAGCCCCCGAAAGCCATCCAGCCTCCATCTCCCAAGTTCATTTTGTGTCTCTCATGATAGGGAGGAAACTTAGCGTTCCTTGGAGACCTGAAAGGATGCAGTGAGCTTAAGAATTTTCAAGAGCTTATCAATCAGTCAGCCCTTGTTCATCCCTGAGTGGATGTGTGGTAGTATCATGGTGGACCTTTACTGGCCACTCTGCCTAGTAACTGGAGTGGCACTTGTACTTTAGTCCAATTGGCTCTCCCTTTCACCCTAGCATTTCATCAACCAGAAGGAAAAAAAACAATAAGACATCAAAAAGCGAGAGAAGCTCCCTATGGGTCTTTGAACTCTCATGTCTATTTAGACGCAATTGGAGTCCCACGAGGAATACCAGACCAATTTAAAGCTTGAAATCAAATAGCTGTAGGATTTAAGTCAATATTTTGGTAGGTGACATTTAATAAAAATGTAGATTAGATAAACTACATCTATTACAACCAACAGCAATAAGGTTTTCATGACTTAAAAGAAAAACTCGCGTCGGCCCCGGTCCTGAGGCTACCTGACCCGACAAAACTCTTTACACTCTATGTGTCAGAAAGATAAAAAATGGCACTTGGAGTTTTAACTCAGACTGTGGGGCCCTGGCCAAGGCCAGTGGCCTATCACTCAAAACAACCAGACAGGGTTTCCAAAGTCTGGCCCCCAGGTCTAAGGGCCCTGGCAGCAATGGCCCTTTTAGCACAAGAAGCAGATAAACTAACTCTTACACAAAACCTGAATATAAAGGCCCCCCATGCTGTGGTAACTTTAATAAATACCAAAGGACATCACTGGTTAACAAATGCTAGATTAACCAAGTACCAAAGCTTGCTATGTGAAAATCCCCAAATAACCATTGAAGTTTGCAACACCCTAAACCCCACCACCTTGCTCCCAGTATCAGAGAGCCTAGTTGAACATAACTGTGTAGAGGTGTTGGACTCAGTTTATTCTAGCAGGACTAACCTTCGAGACCATCCTTAAACATTAGTAGACTGTAAGCAGTACATGGATGGGAATAGCTTCACCAACCCCCTGCAAAGTGACTCTGAAAAAGACGACAGGCCCTGCTGCAGTCACACCCGGAAGCTGACTGGTCCACGCACAGACAAAGCATGAGGAAACTCATCGCGGGACTCATTTTCCTTAAAATTTGGACTTGTACAGTAAGGACTTCAACTGACCTTCCTCAGACTGAGGGCTGTTCCCAGTGTATACATCAAGTCACTGAGACAGGATAAAAGGTTGCTACGGTCCTATTATTTTACGGTTATTATAAGTGTACTGGAACTCTAAAAAGAACTCGTTTGTATAATGTTATTCTATACAAGGTATGTAGCACAGGAAATGACCAACCTGATGTGTGTTATTACTCATCTGAGCCTCCCATGACCACAGTTTTTAAAATAAAATTAAGAACTGAAGACTGGTAGGGGCTCATAAATGATACTAGTAAAGTGTTAGCCAAAACAGAAGAAAAAGGGGTGCCCAAACAAGTCACCTTAAAATTTGATAACTGTGCTGTCATTAACAGTAAGTTAGGAAGGGGATGTGGCTCTTTTAGTTGGGAAAAAGGCTATATGACTGAAAATAAGTATATTTCACATGAATTAGGACTGTGTGGAAATGAATGTGGATCCTGGTCTTCTGCCATTTGAGCCACTTGGATAAAAAATAAAAAGGATCCAGTCCACCTTCAGAAAGAAAAAAATGGCCCTTCCTGTACTAAGGGATAATGTAACCCCTTAGAGCTAGCAATAATCAATCCTCTTGATCCTCACTGGAAAAAAGGGGAGTGTGTGACCTTAGGAATCGATGGGGTCACACTGGATCCTCGAGTAAATATCTTGGTTTGAGAAGAAGTTTACAAACACTCTCCTAAACCAGTGTTTCAAACTTTCTATGATGAATTAAATGTACCAGTACCAGAAATTCCAGGAAAAACAAGAAATTTGTTTTTGCAATTAGCCGAGCATGTAGCCCAGTCTCTCAATGTCACTTCATGTTATGTATGTGGAGGAACTGAATGGGAGATCAATGGCCATGGGAAGCACGAGAATTAGTACCTACAGACCCAGTTCCTGATGAATTCCCGGCTCAAAAAAATCACCCTGATAATTTCTGGGTCCTAAAAGCCTCAATTATTGGACAATACTGCATAGCTAGAGAAGGAAAAGAATTCACTCACCTCATAGGACAACTTAGTTGTCTGGGACAGAAACTGTATAATGGTACCACAAACACAGTCACTTGGTGGGAGTTCAAATCAAACAGAGAAGAATCCATTTAGCAAATTCCCAAAGTTTCAAACCATGTGGACCCACCTGGAGTCCCACCAGGACTGGACAGCCCCCACTGGATTATACTGGATATGTGAGCATATAGCTTATATCAAATTACGTGACCAGTGGGCAGATATTTGTGTTATTGGCACTATTAAACCATCTTTCTTCCTACTGCCCATAAAAACAGGCCAACTCCTGGGTTTCCCTGTCTATGCTTCCCAAGAAAAGAGAAGTATAGCTATAGGAAATTGGAAAGATGATGAATGGCCCCCTGAGAGAATTATACAATATTATGGGCCTGCTACTTGGGCACTAGACAGCTCATGGGGATACCAGACTTCCATTTACATAATCAACCGAATAAGGTTACAAGTTGTCTTAGAAATAATCACTAATAAAACTGGCAGAGCCTTGACTATTCTGGCCTGGCAAGAAACTCAGATGAGAAATGCTATCTATCAAAATAGATTGGCTCTCGACTATTTGCTAGCAGCTGAAGAAGGGGTGTGTGGAAAATTTAACTTTTCTAATTGCTGTCTACACATAGATGATCAAGGGCAAGTAGTTGAAGACATAGAGATATGACAAAACTGGCACATGTGCCCGTGCAAGTGTGGCATGGATTTGATCCTGGGGCCATGTTTGGAAAATGGTTCTCAGCGCTAGGAGGATTTAAAACTCTTATAATAGGAGGTATAATAATAATAGGAACCTGCCTACTGCTCCCTTGTTTGCTACCTGTACTTCCTCAAATGATAAAAAGCTTCACTGCTACCTTAGTTCACCAAAATACTTAAGCACAAGTGTACTATATTAATCACTATCAATCTGTCTTGCAAGAAGACATGGGTAGTGAAAATGAAAGTGAGAACTCCCACTAATAAAATGAGTGACAGTCTCAAAATAGAAGAATAAGGGAAGAGACTACCCCTCATATCGTCTTATGCCCAATTTCTGTCTCCAAAGAAAGAAGTAAAAATTAAAAGACAGAAATGAAATCCACAGGCAGACAGACTGGCACCACACCCTGGGCCTGGCAGTTAAAGATCGACCCCTGACCCAATCGGTTATGTTATCTATAGATTACAGACATTGTATAGAAATGCATTTTGAAAATCCCTACCTTGTTTTGTTCCAATCTAATTACCAGTGTATGCAGCCCCCAGTCACGTACCCCCTGCTTGCTCAATCAATCACAACCCTCTCACATGCACCCCCTTAGAGTTGTGAGCCCTTAAAAGGGACAGGTATTGCTCACTCGGAGAGCTCGGCTCTTGAGACAGGAATCTTGCTGATGTCCCTGGCCGAATAAACCCCTTCCTTCTTTAACTCAGTGTCTGAGGAGTTTTGTCTGTGGCTTGTCCTGCTACAACACAGCCAATGGTTTTTAATCTAAGCAGTATCACTCCCAAGCAGCCTTATCCTCAGGGGATATGTCCCCAGACACCCTAATGGATGCCTGACCTCAGAAGAATGAATTTCTTTTTCCTTCTTCACAATTTCACTGACACAGATTCATTCTTTCCATAGATCTTAGCAACCTCAGCATATTCTGTTTTTTCTTTCCTTAAGTCTTTCCTTAAGAACTTTCACCTTTTCACTTCAAAGAAGCACTTTATGACTTACTGTTGTCAGATCCAAATAGCCAGCATCATTACTCTCGTACTTCGGGGTCATTATTAAGTAAAATAAGAGTTACTTGAACACAAGCACTGTGATACCACCACAGTGGATCTGATAACCCAGAGGGCTATCAAGTAGCTAAAGGGCAGCAAGAATATATAGTGGAATATTCTGGACAAAGGGATGATTCACCTCCCATTCTGGAAGGAGCTGGTTGGCTCAAGATTTTATCACAGTACTCAGAACAGCATGCAATTTAAAACTTACTAATTGTTTATTTCTGGAATTTTCATTTAATATTTTCAGACTGCTGTTGACTGGGGTAACAAACCTGCAAATAAGGAGGTATGGCTTGTACAGCTGCTTCTTGATTTATGATGGGGTTACATCCCAATAAATGCGTCATAAGTGGAAAATGTAAGTCAAAATGCATTTACTACCGCTGTAAGCCCATCATAAAGTTAAAAATCCTAAGTCTAACCATCCTAAATTATATACGATCCTACTTATCTGCGTAAAACTACCAGAATGGTAATAACAGTTGTAATAATGGAGGGGCTCACTAGGAGGCAGTGAACTCCTTAACCCTGGGGCTCACTAGGAGGCAGTGAACTCCTTAACCCTGGTGATGTTCAAGCATGCAGTAACAATGTTAGAGCTGTTGATGAGCCGATTCCGGCATTCAATACCTGCAGGCTACAAAGTCTTTAAATTCCCTTAGTATTCATATAATAAAATCAATTTTCTAACCTTTGCCACACAAGATAGTTCCCAGGTCACCAGTTTCAACATCATTTGGCCACTTGTTAGAAATGGACAAGATCAGACCCTACCCTACACCCAAAGAATCATAATCTGTATTTTAAAAGATCCTCAGCTGATTAATTGCCACATTAAATTTTTAGGAGCACTAATCTAATCCCCTAAATCACACATATAAAGAAACAGAGACCACCCCACGGAGGTACAAACACAGACATGCTGGATCGGGTCGTCACTGGGTGGGCTGAGGGCTCCTAAAGTTTCGCACTAGAAGGCAGGCGCTGGACAGGAGCAAAGGGGCCCTCACCCCGTCAAGGAGTAGGATGCGGCCAGCGCAGGAGCTAGTGGTGAAAAACTGATCTCGCGTGTTCAGAAACTGCACAAGCTCTACCACATCCTCGTCCACACTGCCCTTCCGACTGAGGTCCGCTTTGCTCAAACACTGCGCCTTCCATTTCCTGAACTCTGCGCTGCGATCCATGTGTGAGGGACTCAGGGTTTGCGCTCGGCTCCTTCATGGGTGCCTAGTCTCTCCCCGGGGGCGGCCATATTGAAGCGAGCGGTGGCCGAAAAGGTCCAAACTTCCTCTGCGTTCTTAATTTGGGAAATTCTAGTGCCTTCGGCTGGGGTTGGGGAGAGGTGCACAGCGTGGGCGGAGCCTGCAAAAGTTGGAGAACGTGTAGCAGGCCTCATCCTGTGGAATCTGAAGAGGCCCACGCAGATTTTAATTCCCACTCTAGATTCTGGTAAGTGGTTTTAAAAACTCTCCTTAGTTGTTCAGACAGCGAATCTCCCCACTGCTCGTGCAGGTGCAACGGAGGTTGATTTTGGCTGCACTCCTTTCCTGCCCTCTGTCGTCTCAGAGAATTAGTGCGTTAAGAGCTCCAGACCAAAGCCATTCCCCTCCAGGGGCTGCAAGTTCCCATCCATAAATCACGTAGGGAGTTTTGCGCTCTGGTCCTGCATTTAGTCTCTGAGTTTAGGCTACCACACCATGAGGCGTTCGTTGGAACTACCCCTGCCCAGCCTCCGCCCCCCCAACTCCCCGACCCCCAGTCCCACGCTGCATCCCCCACGCCAGTCACCCGCTTGATTTTCCCTGCTGCCCAGTGCCTGGGTTTGGGGGGTTTGGGGATTCCCGCAGCAACGCGCAGCGGTCTGTCCGGGGCCCGTTCCCACAGCCTAGCTGTAGGGGATTTCTCCTAGGTAGGGCCCCTTCCCACAGCCCAGCTGTAGGGGATTTCTTCTCCTAAGTAGGGCGCCTTCCCACAGCCCAGCTGTAGGGGATTTGATTTCTTCTCCTAGGTAGGGCCCCTTCCCACAGCCTAGCTGTGGGAAATTTTTTTCTCCTTGATTCCCACAATTACAGGTTTCCCGGAGCTTGCCGCCTGGTCTTCCTTGAGCTTTGTCATCAGGATTGCAGTCTTACTTTGAGAGAAATGTATGTTTTTATTGACCCTGTGACGCCCCCCACTTAGAATAATCTTCAAAAGAAAATTACGAAACACCCTGTTAACACATCGTTGGATGTTCATACTGAGTTTCTAGAGGAGACTCAGTGACCAGGGAAGGTGTGTCAATGATTAAACCTAAAGGCTAAAGTTTGGAATGCTTGTCCGTAGCTAATGGAAATTGCTGTGTGAGTCCCACTGAAGCCACTGTGATTACGTGTCTGGTTAGCGCAGCGAGTTCAGCAGCAAATCTCTCCGAGCTCTACTCCCCCAACATTAGGGACCAGACTGCCCTGTTCCATACCATCAGGGAACCTGGAGGAGTCCGGAATTGTCTATTAAACTCCTCCCTTCTTCTTACCCCGTCCTGTCACAAGTGAACAGAAGTGGCCTGATAAGATCACACAGCCAGGAAGAGACTTTCTCTGACCACTTGTAATTCTTGACTTTTTTACCTTCTGGATTAATAATAAACCATATGCTTACATGAGTCATTTTTTATTAGCAACAGAGCATTTTGTAATGATTGATTTTTTTCCTAAGTTTTCAGTTTTTTAAATTCTTGCCAGAATTCTTATTTAATTTTACTTTTGCTTTTGTCTCATCATGTTCCTTTGTCCTGGCTTTGTGAATTGATCTGTTCTTCCTATGTTAAAATATACTCCTAACATTTTCCCAATTCCTTTAATTTTCATTTAAATCAAATGGATACAAGCATGGCCAGGAAAATGATCACTGTTGGAGGAGGGATTTTAGATTTCCTATTTCCTAGATTTGTAAGGCATATTGGCAACCTTTCAGAGGTAAAATTAAACCAAAAATTAAACCAAGGGACTCCAATTTTTAAAAGTTTATATTTGATAAACAGGAAGGCCTGTTTGAAGTATAGTTTAATTAAAAACCACAAGCAATGGAAAGGTCTATCCTGTCCACAAGGATCCGATGCTAGGGAGTAATTTTTTTTACACATTTTTAAAAATAGAATCATGTCCTTTGTATTTCTGCTGCATTCCCTGACTTAGTGGGCATTTGAGAAATTTCAAACTCTAAGCAGATGCCTTAGTCATAAAATATGTGATTCTCCCCGCAGGTTAGTTTGATTTCACATTTTCTAGCTCAATCTTTCTCACTATCACTATTGTAAAGTTTCTTTCCTTCCTCCCTTCCTTCCTTCCTCCCTTCCTTCCTTCCTTCCTTCCTCCTTCCTTCCTTCCTTCTTTTTTTTTTTTTTTTTTTTTGTTTGAGGCGGAGTCTCGCTCAGTCGCCCAGGCTGGAGTGCAGTGGCGCGATCTCGGCTCACTGCAAGCTCCGCCTCCCGGGTTCACGTGGTTGTCCTGCCTCAGCCTCCCAAATAGCTGGGACTACCGCCCCCGCCGCCACGCCCGGCTAATTTTTTGCGTTTTCAGTAGAGACGGGGTTTCACTGTGTTAGCCAGGATGGTCTCGATCTCCTGACCTCGTGATCCGCCCGCCTCGGCCTCCCAAAGTGCTGGGATTACAGGCGTGAGCCACCACGCCCGGCTGTAAAGTTTATTTCTATGAAGTAAAGGGTCTTATATGCCAGCATCTCAAAGGATGAGATGAAAAGGATCGTACACTTAAAAAAAAAAAATCAGCTAACACCATTTACTTATAGGACTTGAGTTCTAGCTTTGCTTCTGTGTGACCCTGGCCAAGTCTCTTAACCTCTTGTGATGTTTTCTCATCCATAAAATGGATGGCGATTTTATTTTTACTTCTGCATAAAATAATAGTTTAAATAACTTCTCTACTTGTTGTGAAAATAGTTATGTCAATGAAAGTGAGAGACTTATGCTTTTTAGAAGAAATCCAGTATTACAGGAGTTTAAGTATTATCCTATTTGCTATCAGTATGCCACGTTATTTTATTATTTGTATAATCTCTTTTGACAGGCTTCATCATTATGAAGCATATGATGATCCCGTGGATAGGTGAGTTCAAAGGCAATGAGTGCAGGTTGGAGCCTGATCAATCAGAATGCTAAAGGCTCAGTGGGAAATAAGATCAGCTGAAGCAAAGTAGGAGATAGTGTGGTCAGGCCACGCCCCATCACTTTCAAGCCCAATAGTATAATGTGGTAGTTTAGTACTGGGCAAAGCAGATGAGTCCTCTTTCTTTATTCCTTTCTCTCACTTAGCCAATGCCAAAATGTGTGTGTTTGGTTGGGGGGGGGGCGGTGGGGGGGAGATACAGCTCCTGTTTCAGAGTAATTTTACTTTTATTATTACAACAGTTTTTTTATGGTAATTGTGAGATGTGAGTGAAAGACATAGGTAGGAAGTAAGTAGATATGGAAAATGGAAAAAGAGCAAGCATCTCATAGGGTATGTGTGTAGGTGTGTGAGAGAGAGAGAGCACCCAGCTTACAGAAGCTAGGGGCAGGGTGGGGCATATTCTCCTTGCTCTTTGTGTTCTCTGAGTTTAACACACTGCTTCATGCACAGTTAAGGTTCAGAAAAATACCCATTGGGTAACAACCAATGTTTGGTATTAATGTTTTGTTTAAGTCATCTTCACCGAATTCTTTGAGAATAAGAGCTTGTTTTGACAACCAGAGTCCTGTAAATATCGTTATATTAAATTAAAGATAATTACAGAACTATAGAGTATATTTTTTTCATAACATTTTAGTGACTTCTCTAGTCTGCTTTTTTTTTTTTTTTTTTTTTTTGAGACTGGGTCTCACACTGTCATCCAGGCTGAGTGGTGCAGTGGCACGATCACAGCTCACTGCTTCACTGCAGCCTTGACCTCCTGGGCTCAAGCGATCCTCCCAGCTCAGCCTCCTGAGTAGCTGGGACCACCCGTGCTTGTCACCACACCTAGCTAATTTTTTTTTTTTTTTTGTAGAGATGCCATTTTGCCATGTTGCCCAGGCTGGGCTGGGTCTCCTGGGCTCAGGCAATCCTTATGATTCAGAAACTGAAAAGAATAGAGGGGAAAACAATAATGATGTCTACTATATACAAGAGCATGTGTTTGCTAAGTTCTGTGCTTGGTGCTTGCCATGTCTCTAGCATGTAACTCTGAGTGGGAGCCCAGATTTCAGATGAGGAAACAGCATCAAGAGGTTGACTGTCTTGCCCAAGGCCATGTGGCTGCTACATGATAGAGCTGGGACTCACACCTCGAGCTGTGTATTCCAAAACCTGCTCTTCCCGTAACACCATGTTGAAAAAACAAAACAAAAACAACCTCTGTGTTCTTATATCCACCATCTCATCTGGGCAACCTGTTTCTTTTTTATTTTCTTGACACTTTCACTTTCTTGTCTAAAGAATTCTCAGCTAGAGTGAAGACCTGAATGGAGGTAGAGTGGTGAGATTGCTGAGTAGGAGTGGGCTGTTTTTTCCCAGCCCTGCCCTCTGACAGATCATCTCCCCGTCAGACACTGCCAAGCTGTTTTAAAGTGCAATCTTTATGCCGTCTGCCTGCTTCTGCCTCTTTTTTTCCCCCGAGGACCACCCTTCAGGATATGTCATTGCTAAACAGCCTTTGGAAATGTCACTTTCTCCTTTGTGCTAGACACTGTGTTAAATCATTTTAAGGGTTTTAAAGGGACACAAACTTTTGATTAATTATATCAGGAACTTTCCATCAATAACACTACCAAAATACTTCTGATTCCATCCCCTGCCCCAGCCGCTGTATGTGGAAATGTGGAATGACATTTTATAGCCAGTATGGGCTCTGTTCTGAGTAGTCCTGTATGGAGTTCTGATACAGTAAAAGTCTGAATTCTTTCGTATCAGGTCCTGGTTTCTGCAACTCTTCTTAATGTTTAAACTTCTTGTGGTTAAAGCAGATGTTTTAGGTGATGGCAGAATCTAACACTATTTGGTTGATTTCAAGAAATTATGATAACCCACAGATAAAATTATGGGGATATAGTCAAAACCTTTCATTACATCTTTACAGGTACAGAAAATTTTCTAAGATTATATAATTTACAAATGTTCTTTGTCTTTTTATAGGTTATTTGAACTCTGAGTTTCCATTTCATTTGATATTAACAGTGATATGACAGAAAGGTTAGCTGTGCCCTTGTAATTTATAAAAGATTGCATATGGTGCACTGTTTTTAGTGTTTGACGTTTTTCCCCTTTTGTTAAAATGAATGAACTACAGAAAGCCAACTGTTTCGACATTGATAAATCTCAAAAACTTAATGCTGAAAGGAAAAAGCAAATTGTAGAATTCTTTTTCAAATCAGAATTTGCTTTTTCCTTTCAGCATTAAGTTTTTGAGATTTTTGTGTTCCCTAAACTGTATGAATTTTGAAAACATGCAAAACAATAACACATTGTTTAATATTACATACACATATAGAAGCGATATTAAATGCTTGAGAATGATGAGTACTGAATTCATGGTTATAGTCACCTCTTGAAAGGGTGGGCCAGAAACAGGTTTGGCTTCAATTATATCTATAATAGTTTAGGTTTTTTAAATGTTAAGATTTGTTAAAGCTGGGTAATATGGTTTGGCTGTGTCCCCACACAAATCTCATCTTCAACTGTAGCTCCCATAATTTCCACGTGTCATGGGAGGGACCTGGGGGAGGAATTCAATCATGGGGCAGGTCCTTTGCATGCTGTTCCTGTGATAGTGAATACATCTCATGAGATCTGATGGTTTTTTTGTTTTTTGTTTTTTGTAATTTTTTTTTTTTCTTTTTTTTTTTTTTTTTTTTTTTGACAGTCTTGCTCTGTTGCCGAGGCTGCAGTGTAGTGGCTGGAGTGTAGTGGCACGATCTCAGCTCACTGCAAGCTCCGCCTCCCAGGTTCATGCCATTCTCCTGCCTCAGTCTCCCAAGTAGCTGGGACTACAGGTGCCCACCACCACACCTGGCTAATTTTGTTTGTTTTGTATTTTTTAGTAGAGACAGGGTTTCACTGTGTTAGCCAGGATGATCTCGGAGATCTGATGATTTTATAAAGGGGAGTTCGTCTGCACATGCTGTCTTGTCTGCCGCCATGTAAATTGTGCCTTTGCTTTTCCTTTGCCCTCTGCCATGATTTTGAGGTCTCCCCAGCCACGTGAAACTGCGAGTCCGTTAAACCTCTTTCGTATGTAAATTGTACCCAGTCTCAGTTGTTTTTTCATAGCGGTATGAAAATGAACTAATAATAGTAAATAGGTACTATTAGAGTTCGGTACTGCTGTAAAGATACCTGAAAATGTGGAAGCGACTTTGGAACCGGGTAACAGGCAGAGGTTGAAACAGTTTGAAGGGCTCAAAAGACAGGAAGATGTGGGAAAAAAGTTTGGAACTTCCTGGAGACTTGTTGAATGGCTTTGACCAAAATGCTGATAGTGATTTGGACAATAAAGTCCAGGCCAAGGTGGTCTTGAATGGAAATGAGGAACCTGTTGGTAACTGGAGCAAAGGTGACTTTTGTTGTGTTTTAGCAAAGAGACTGGTGGCATTTTGCACCTGTCCTAGGCATCTGTGGAGCATTGAACCTGAAAGAGATGATTTAGGGTATCTGGCAGAATAAATTTCTAAGCAGTAAAGCATTCAAGAGGTGACTTGCGCATTGTTAAAAGCATTCAGTTTTATGTATTCACAAAGATATGATTTGGAATTGGAACTTATGTTTAAAAGGAAAGCAGAGCATAAAATTTCAGAAAATTTGCAGCCTGAAGATGCAATAGAAAAAAATCCATTTTCTGAGGGAAATTCAAGCCAGCTGCAGAAACTGGCCTAAGTAAGGAGGAGCCAAATGTTAATCATCAAGATAATGGAATGGGGAAAATGTCTCCAGGGCATGTCAGAGACCTTTGCAGCAGTCTGTCACATCACAGACTCAGATGCCTAGGAGTTAAAAAATGGTTTCTTGGACTGGGCCCAGGGCGCCCATGCTGTGTGCAGCCTAGGGACTTGGTGCCCTGCATCCCAGCCATGGCCTAAAGGTGCCAACATACACATCAGGCCATTGCTTCAGAGGTGCAAGCCTGAGGCCTCTCAGGCGTTCATGTGGTGTTGGGCCTGCCAGTGCACAGAATTCAAGAATTGAAGTTTGGGAACTTCCACCTAGATTTCAGAGGTGTGGAAATTCTTGAATGTCCAGCCAGAGGTATGCTGCAGGGATGGAGCCCTCATGGAGAACCTCTGCTAGGGCAGTGTGGAAGGGAAATGTGAACCGGGAGCCCCCACACAGTGTCCCTTCTGGGGCACCACCTAGTGGAGCTGTGAGAAGAGGGCCACTGTCCTCCATACCCCGGAATGGTAGATCCACTGATAGCTCACACTGTATGCCTGGAAAGGCTGCAGACACTCAATACCAGCCCATGAAAGCAGCCAGCAGGGAGGCTTTACCCTGCAAAGCCACAGGGGCAGAGCTGACCAAGACCATGGGAACCCACCTCTTTTTTCAGAGTGATCTGGATGTGAGATGTGGAGTCAAAAGAGTTCATTTTGGAGCTTTAAGATTTGACTGCCCTGTTGGATTTCACACTTGCATGGGACCTGTAGCCCCTTTCTTTTGGCCAATTTCTCCCATTTGGAACAGCTGTATTTACCCATTTCCTGTACCCCCATTGTATCTAGGAAGTAACTAACTTGCTTTTGATTTTACAGGCTGATAGGCAGAAGGAACTTGCCTTGTCTCTGATGAGACTTTGGACTGTGAACTTTTGAGTTTATGCTGAAATTAGTTAAGATTTTGGGAGACTATTGGGAAGGCAGGACGTGGTGGGAGGTAATTGAGTCATGGGGAAGGGAGTTCCCTTGCTGTTCTAGTGATAGTGAATAAGTCTCACTAGATCTGATGGTTTTATAAAAGGGAATTCCCCTGCACAAGCTCTCTTGTCTGCCACCGTGTAAGACATGCCATTGCTTCCCCTTTGCCTTCCACCATGATTGTGACACTTCCCTAGCCATGTGGAACTGTGAGTCCATTAAACCTGTTTCCTTTATAAATTATCTAGTCGCCAGTATTTCTTCATAGCAGTATGGAAATGAACCAATACACTGGCTGTCACATAAATGTTTGAAATATTTCATAATTTAACAAAAGGAGGGCGGTTTACCTAATGTTAATAAAACTAAACTCATAAAACTTCTAAAATCGCAACCCAAGCAAGAAAACCTAAATATAGTATCATGCTATGTCTCTCCAGATGTTTTTGTTTGCATATTTGATTCCTTTGTTGAAGGCACTGAATCCCTACAGTAAGTATCATGAAGTATTTTGCTTTGTGGCTGAGGGATTTGTAAGATGAAAGGTCCTTAAACATGAAATGAGATCAGTGGTAAGCTCATGATTTAAATTGTTATTTGAAAAAATTGTTTGATCTGCTCCCTCCAGGGGGGGAAAAACATGATGATATCTTAGATACAATGTGACAATACATTAATTTTTTTTCTTTCTTAGTATCTAGATCACCATGGCGACCAGACAGAAGTTGATGAGAGCTGTTAGAGTTTTTGAATTTGGTGGACCAGAAGTCCTGAAATTGCAATCAGATATTGCAGTACCAATTCCAAAAGACCATCAGGTAGAAATAAAATTACTTTATTGAGGCCGTAATTATACTGAGTGTGAGTCTCTTGCAAATAGTGTTCAAAAGAAGCAGAGTCACAATTATTTTTAAAGACATTGAATTAGGATGCAATTTACACTACATATACATATGGACATTGATAAAGTTAACATAAACCTGATAATTAGTGAAGTAGATATATGAAAAAGAATAACCTTTGGTTATAAGAAAATTTTTGATGTAGGGAATGATCTATGTAGTGCAATAATTGGATTTTTCTGAACGGACACATAAGGAGTTTTGAATAAGTTATTCTATTACAAACATTCATGATTTTTATTTTTTGCATGCTGGGAAAACAATTTTCTTTTGCATTCATGCTTTTTCATGTGTGATTCATGAGAATTTAAGTGTATAGTTTAATCATCTCCAATGACTTTAATAATATATTTTTGATTTTAAATTATGTATTTTTATTACTGCACCCTCCATGCTTCCCAAGTCTAATCTTCTTAGCAAGCCTATGAGAGTTTTTACAGTTTGGCTGTAACCTATCTTTACAAATTTTTTTCTCATCACTCCCTCTCCATATAGAGATATAGTGCTGTAACAACATGAGATTTTGTCCAGTTTCCTTAAGACTCCCTTTCATTCCTCTGTCTTTGCACATGCTATTTTTTTTTACCCAAACTATCCTTTTTCTCTCATTCCTAATTTCTACTTATATTTTAAACCCTAACTCAAATACCACTTCCTTTATAAAGCCTTCCCTTACTTTTATACCAGAGGTAATCATTCTGTGTTAATTAAGGTAAAATTAGCTCCTACAATTGCTGTAACCTAAAAATTACAATGGTCCAGCCAGGGATAATTATTTCTTATACACTAAATTTAAAAGTTCTCAAATGTGGGTGGGTAGCTGTTCTCCAACAGTGACTTAGGGACTCAGCTTCTTCTTTCATGTGGCTCTGCCACCCAACTCCTGTCTTCCAGGGTCTCCATGGAAGAGGAAAAGCACAGTGTGGCTTGGCTAGGAAGTTTTAATCGGTCAGGCCTGCAAGTGTCTGCTGTCACTTTTGCTAACATTCCATTGGCTAGAACTCAGTCACTTGGCTAATCATAACCATGAGGGAGGTGAAGAAGCACCACTCTTTCTGTGTACCCAGGAAAAGGAAAAAATGGGTTTGACGAACATGCAGAGGTCTCTACCACATATCCCCTTAAATATTTCTTTCACTATTTTCCCCAAAATGTTTTTAATACAGTACATAACCATTCTGTCATACTTATTTATGTTACCTTGTAAAACTGGAATGTGAGGTTGTTGAAGGCAAGCACTTACTTGTTTTGCTTTTTTCTCCCATTTTGATAGCTCCCATAATCAGCACAGTCCTAGCATAAAGTTAAATGAATGCCTATATTCTTTCATGAACTAAAATACATTGTCATTGCAGGTTCTAATCAAGGTCCATGCATGTGGTGTCAACCCTGTGGAGACATACATTCGCTCTGGTACTTATAGTATAAAACCACTCTTACCCTATACTCCTGGCTCAGATGTGGCTGGCGTGATAGAAGCTGTTGGAGATAATGCATGTGCTTTCAAGGTATTGCATTTTTAATTATTTCTATTTGGCTTAATTTATTTCCTTAAAATATTTGAACATAGTTTTCAACTGCATCTTATTTAAGGCTTTAAAAGGCCCTGTTACACAATTTCTGCCACTTGGGGGACTCCTCTAGTCAAGAAAGAAATTAGATTTTATCCAGAGGCCTTATTTGTTTACTACATTGTTGTGAATAGGTGCTGGATAATTTCTGTATCTTCATGTCCCCACAGAATGAACTGTGATTTTTTTGATTTAATAGAAATATGTAAGGAAAGAAAGCACACGAGGAAGTTAGACTATTTCCCAACTCTTGATGATACACAAGCTAAAATAATTTTTAATTCCTTTTATAAATCTTGCTTCATAAGATAAGGTTAATTCTTTTGAAAAATAAGTAAAACATGAAAAAATGCAAGGTCACTATACAATTTTGGAGCTCTGACTCAGTCACTGAAAATGTTATGATCAGGATATATATGTGTGTGTGTGTGTGTGTGTGTGTGTGTATATATATATATGCCAAAAGGCATATTCATAGTAGACTGATGTCCTATCATCTTTCTTCATAATTCCTTGACCTACTCAACTTTGGCAGCACCTTACCAAAATTAGGTTGAGACAGAGAAGATTACTGTTCCTCTGTACAGGAAGACTCGCAAATTCATACAACTTTCCACTCCTCAGCCTGTGGCAACCTGGCTTCTGCCCCCATCGCTCCACTGAAAGGACTCTTGCTAGTGTCACTAATGGCCTCTGTTTTGCTGGAGTTAATGGGCCCTTTTATGTCATTATCTTTCTTGACTTCTCTGTGACATTTGACACTCTCAGCCACTTAACTTTTTCTTTAAAAAACTTTTTCTGCAGCTTCTGTGACATCATTTTCTTCTGTTCTCCTCTCCCCTTCCTTTCTGGGCCTCTGTTTTCAGGCCTCTCTTTTTCTCTGGATATTCCTCAAATCTTGGTGTTGCCTAGGGCTCTCAGTCTCTATTTAGACCTCTGCTTTCTGTATTCTTTACCTTTTTCGCAATCTCATACACTCTCTTTGTTGCCGTTATCACGTTACATCTTTAGCATAGAATTTTCTGCTGAACTCTGGATCTGTGCTATCCAAAGCGGTAGCCACTAGCCACATGTGGCAGTTTAAAATTCAACTTAAATTCATATTGAAAATTCAGTTCCTGAGTCACTCTAGCAACATTTCAAATGCTTAATAGCCTCCTGTGTCCAGTGGCTGCCCTGCTGGACAGTACAGATGTGAACATTTCCATCACTGCAGAGAGTTCTGTTGGAGACACTGGACTCACATGGTCAACCTCCAGAAATCTCGTACAAAACGTGTCTAAAACTAGCTTATCTTTTCTCACTGCAGATAGTGCCTCTCTTGTGTGACTGTCCTGGTGACTTCTGGGATTTGAGGATTACTCCTCGCTTTCCCTTACTAGAACTGTTTTCTCTCTCCTTTCCATTTCCACTGCCAGTAGTTTAGTTCAGGCTATCTTACCTACCTAACTACACCCCTGACCTGGATTTCTATAATGGCTACATAACTTTCTCTTTTCCCTGGAATTCATCCTTAATCTAGAATGAATCATTTTATAAAATTTAATTATGATTGTTATACACCTCTGTTTTCATTCTTGCATCCATGTCTTGTAGACTTCAGGAAGACTCTCAAAATTCCTTATTGTTATGAAATAAGACTGTTTCATGCTGTCTCCCATCTGTTTTTCCAGTCTTACCTCCCACTCCTCTTCACAGTGTAGTTTATTCTTCAGTAATGAACTGTTTGTCCTTCCCTGCACATCCCATGCTCTCTCATCTCTGTGTTTTTGTTCATATTGGTTCTTCTAATGGACAAAATTTAATTAAAACTTAAAAACATGGATTCAAAGGATTTTACACTTTAGCTTCAGTTTCTTTTCATTTTATCTCCTGAAACGGTTACATACCACACGTTAGTCTGCTTACTCATTGGTAATAAATGCTGCTAATTTCTTGGCATTTATTCCTGTCCCTATCATTTTGCCAACTTTGTTTCCTTCACCCATAATGACTCTTCCCATTCTAGTTTTCAAAATCTTGTCCTGTTCTTCAAGATTTACCTCAATTATTAGCTTCTCAATGAAGCTATTCCTAATTTCCTCTACTTAGAAGTAATTTCTTTCTTTTTCTTTTACCTATCCTCAGTGGCTAATCATGTTTGCCTTGCTTTTTATAATTATTTCTATACTTTGCTTTTCTCTCCTCCTAGAGTCTAGGATGCTTGACATTAGGGACAGTGGTATTGATGTCCCTCACATAACTTGAAATAATGCTTTCTATATAGTATATTCGCAGTAAATGTTTGAATTATATTGAAATCAATTCAACATGTTTTTTAGCTGTAAAAACAGGATTAATCTTCATCATATTTGACATTTCTAGGCAACCATATTAAGTGGTGGTACTTGTCCTTGATTCTTGGATGACTTTTGTATCTTTTTTGTCTTTATCCTATCAGATAGCATTTCTACATTTTCAGATTTCTGTTAAAGTATACTGAGCAATTATTGCCTTAATAATTTGCCTCTTCTAAGGAATATTTACTTTTTTTTAAAAAGGAGGAGTTAAGGCACGTGGTTACGGTGGGGGGTCCAATTTTCCCTAACGTGTGAATTACATACTGGACCAATAATGCCTGGCTGGGGCATTACTTCTCCCTGAGTCCTGCATCTGCTTTTTAATAGTGAGGTCCAACAGACATTCGTTGAGACTTTACTGTGTTTCTGGTGCCGTGTCAAGAAGGCGGCTGTCCTGGGTCATCGTGCTGTCAGGGTCCTAGTATGGTTTTCTGCCTTTGGGTGTTTGCATGAGACATAGTGGCAATGCAGGGGCGAGGAAACTCATGGATGGGATTTAGAGAAGGTGTTTGGTGTGTGGAAGAAACTTCAGATTTTATTTGTTTCTTCTCCCTAGCATTTTGGGCAAAAATAACAGTTTATGTTGACTGCTATTTGCTAGCTGCTTGATCTGAGGAAATTATTGAACTTCTTTGTTCCTCAATTTCCTCATCTGTGTAGTGGGGATTGCTCTAAAATAAGAGATAATAAACATGCCCACCTCACGGGCCGTTGTGAAGATGAAATTAGATAACACTCCAGAGACACTTAATGCAGTGCCTGACATAGCAAGCTCTTCATGGACTGAGCCATCAGCATCATCATGATGCCATTCAAGGAAGTTTATCCTTCCTTATGTTTTTTTCTGTTTTCTTTAGATTTTCTTCCCATCGGTTCCCATTATTAAATATTTTTAAATGTTCAGTATTTTAAAATGATTTATGGCTGGGCACAGTAGCTCACACCTGTAATCCCAGCACTTTGGGAGGCCAAGGTGGGCAGATCACGAGGTCAGGAGTTCAAGACCAGCCTGACCAACATGGTGAAACCCTGTCTCTACTAAAAATACAAAAATTAGCTGGGCGTGGTGGTGCGTGCCTGTAATCCCAGCTACTTGGGAGGCTGAGGCAGGAGAATTGCTTGAACCTGCAAGGCAAAGGTTGCGATGAGCTGAGATCATGCCATTGTACTCCAGCCTGGATGACAGAGCAAGACTCCAACTCAAAAAAACAAAAATTATTTATATGAGACCCTAGGTATAGAGAACAATAGATAAGTACTCACTTATTTCTTGTTATAAAGGATTATACCTATTTTGACGTAATATTTTTAGAATACAAATGCATGTATTCATTTGTCTCTTCCCCTAGAAAGGTGACAGAGTTTTCACTAGCAGCACGATCTCTGGAGGCTATGCAGAGTACACTCTTGCAGCAGACCACACTGTTTACAAACTACCTGAAAAACTGGACTTTAAACAAGGAGCCGCCATCGGTATCCCATATTTTACTGCCTGTCGAGCTCTGATCCACAGGTAATAACACACTTTGTCAATTTTATGGCCAATGCCAAATGAGGGCAGTGTTAACTGCCTCCCTTCTAGTTGTCTGTCCATCCATCTGTTCATTATTTTTGGTTACCATTTACTTACCATTAAACATTTATATAATGGAAACTGTGAATTTGGGAAATTGTACTAATCACTGGGGATACAAAAAAGAGTGAACACTGTGTTCAAGATGCTCATAGTCTAGTAAGGGAAATGACATTAGAATGATCATGTTTATATATAATGTGGAAAGTACAGTGGTAGAAATGTACAGAGGGATATATAGGCTCAGAAGGCATGTGCCTGTGGTGATGAGGTAGGGCTTCCTGGCAAGGTGTAAGACTTACTATTTTTTCACGGTGGCTAACGCCTGTAATCCCAGAACTTTGGGAGGCCGAGACAGGCGGATCACCAGGTCAGGAGATCAAGACCATCTTGGCTAACATGATGAAACCCCATCTCTACTAAAAATACAAAAAATTAGCCGGGCATGGTGGCAGGTGCCAGGTACTCAGGAGGCTGAGGCAGGAGAATGGCGTGAACCCAGGAGGCGGAGCTTGCAGTGAGCTGAGATCGCGCCCCTGCGTGCCAGCCTGGACAACAGAGCGAGACTCTGTCTCAAAAAAAAAAAAGAAAAAAAAGACTTATTATTTTAACTTACTGTTTTAAAGCCATGGTTCAAGAATCTTGTTATCCATTAGAATCATCCAGGCAGCAATTTAATAGTACACTATAAGGCCCTACCCCAGACCCTCTGGTCAGTTTCCATAGCTGGTGCCTGAGAATCGATATTTTAATCCCGTCTACTAAGTATTTGAAAAGCATCAGAGGGAATTCACCTGAGGAATGGTAACTAGAAGGAGAGAGGACATTCTAGACATTGGGGATAGTATGGGGAAAAACAGTGTGGTGTGTGGGAACAGCTATAGCAACTTAATTTTGTTAGAGAGGAAATTTCAAGAGAAAGAGTAGTGAAGAATAAAGTTGGAACAGAGTAATCTTTCAATAAATGTTAGCTGTCATCAAATAGATAGAATTCAGATTGTAAAAGACAGATTATAGAGCTCATCTATTGCACTGTAAAGGACTGGAAGTAATGAAATGCTTTATTCAGGAGACTACCATTGTGATATTTGTGTTTGATTGAGATCACTTGTCTGCTGTGTATAGGATGGATTTGAGGATAGGAATGGAGAGAGAGATAGGAGTATCTTATAGGAGTCTCTACTAGACAAAATCCTTATGGGTCAGAGCAAGGATTCTGGTAGAAGAAGTAAGTAGAGAGGAAAGAATAACTATTTAGTGGGGATAAAATCAGGGGTATTTGGTGATTATTTGCAGGTAGAGAATGAGGAAGAGCTTAAGAGTAGTCTAGCTTTCTAGCTTGGTTCATGTTTAACTGTGACAAAGAAAAGAAGGAGAAAGTTTCAGAGGGAAGCTGTATTCAGTTTTGGATTTGAAATTATGAGAGACACATCCTAATGGAGAGGTTCAGTAGCCTGTTGGATAAAAAAGTCAGAAGCTTGAAGACTGGAGATAAAAATTTGGGGATAGCAGCATGTAGGTAAGAATTGACAAGATGAAAAGTGGTTGAAATCCCTCAGGGAGTGAGAACAGTGGAGTGAGAATAAAACCCTCGTGAACATCACCATTTAAGAATGTAGTCAGAGAAAAAGGATAGACTCGTAAGAGACTGAAAGGATTCCATGGCCGGCAGAATCTAGAGGTCATGGTATCCCTTAAGCATCCAGTGAATGCATGGGCTTTGAAGACAGAAAGGCCTGGGTTAATGTCTTCACATAGTGCTAGTTGTATGACCTTGGTTAAGTTACTTAAACATCTCAGGTGCAGTTTACTAATTTGAGAAACATAGATAATAACAGGACCTACCTGCTAGGGTGTGGTAAGAATTATTTGGAGGTAATGTGTATAAAGTTCTTAGTACAGGGCTCACACAGGGTAAGTTCACAATCACTGCTGGCAGCTTTAGGAGTGGCAATTGATAGTGCTACTAAGGAGGGAGGCCAGTTGTCAAATGCAACACAGAGGTCTGTTCAGAAGCAAATAACAGTTGGGCCCAGCAATTAAGAGGTCATTGGTGACATTAGTCAGTTCCTTTTCAATAGAATGGTGGGAAGAGCTTGATTGAGTGGATTGAGGAAGGAAGAGGAAATCAATTCCTTGAGTGATGACTATTCTTTTAAAAATCGGGGAGACAAGGAAGAGAGAGTAGAAGGTTACCTGAGGAGAGTATGTGGGAAAAAGGGATTTTTTTTTTTAAGGATAGGCAAGACTTGAACATATTTACAGATCGAACAAAATCTGCATAACGTAAGATGGAAAGGACTTAGGACATAGGTAGAGAGACTGGCTTCCAGTATGGAAAGGACAACTTATCCTTAAAACCTAGAAGGGGTAAAGATGATATAATTATGGAAATATTTATGGGTAGGGAGGTGGAGTGTTGAAGGTACTTGTATGTCATTGCCTCACTTTTCACAATTAAGTAGGAGGCAAAAAGTGATATTTTAACAATCAGAGCTAAAGTGGCACCAAAATGCATGGTCATGTGATTTTTTTTTTTTTTTTCTATAATACTTAGTCATTTGGATAAAGTATCAAGGAAGCTAGATTTGAACATTAATCCAGGGCTGGAATATTGGTGGCAAAATAGAATGGTGCAAAGGAAATGAGAGCACAGGGGACTGCAGGGAGAGGAGGTTGGGCAATCTACTATGGAATCCAAGCTGAGGAGGGATGGAAGGAAGGCCAGGAGCAGCAAGCGGGCAGAAATGGAGCTGTTGAGAGTCAGTAATCTCTGCATAGTTGAAGAAAGATTTTGAGAGAATATGGGTTTTCAGAATTAGGATAGATTAGTGTCATAATCCTGGTTATTGGCATCTGATACTTCTCAGGGGGAATGATTGCTGATAGTTATAGCCCTGGGAGACAGTGGCTATAAGTGGAGGAAAATTCAGGAACTGTAGTGCTTGATTTTCTGGGGAATGCTGAATCTCCTTGATTGGAGCTGGATTTGGGGTAGAAGAGAAAGGCTATGTGCCAGGTCTTAGTCTTCAGTGACTAGAAGATGGTAGAGAACAGCAGCATGGAAGGCCAGGCTGAGTGCTGTGAGCGCCAGGGAAGATGACTGTATTAGTGGGGGTCCTCCAGAGAAGCAAATAACAGGATGTGTGTGTCTTTGTCTGCCTGTCTATCAGTCAGTCATCTATCTATTTGATCTATCTAATCTATCATTTATCTCTGTATAAATTCCTTAAGAGTCAGTCACTGTGTATACACACAGACACACACACACACGTGTGCACGCACACAGATTGATTCATTTTAAAGAGTTGACCCATGAAATTGTGGAGGACTGGTGAGTCTAAAATCTGTTGCGGTGGGCCAGCTGGCTGGAGACGCAAGGAAGAGGTGCAGTTTAAGTCCCTAGAAAGTTTGCTGGCTGAATTTACTCTTGCTCATCAGAGGTCAGTCTCTGAGAACAAAAGCCTTCAGCTGATTGGATGAGGCCCACCCACATTGTAGAGTGTCATCTGCTTTACTCAAAATCCAGCTATTTCAGTGTTAATCTCATTTAAAAAAACAAAACAAAACAAAACAAAAAAAACACTGTTACAGAAACATCCAGAGTAATGTTGGAACAAATATCGGGTTCCTTGGCCCAGTCAAGTTGACACATAACTGTCACAGCAACTCTGCACAAGGATTCAGGAAAGGATTTGCCTGCTTCTTCTCCCCTCACCCCAGGCCTAGAGATTTTTATGAGAATGTGTCTTTAGTGTTTGAGGGACATCTTACAAGAATTTTTGAAAAATTTTGTTGGAAGTATTTCATATCCCATAGTTTAACACTAGTGATCCTATCCCCTTATGTTAATGTTTTACTTTAACATATTGTCCTCAGTCTCTTTAGCTCCAAGCAAGAGTGTGGGAGAAAGCTTCTCTTATTGCTCATTGTTGCCACTTCTCAGTTGTTGGTGCACAGCTGGGAGCAGGACTCTGGTTACTGTGTTCTCTTTCCCACATGGAGCATAATGTTCCATAATGTCTCTACAGTGTGGCCACCCCACATTGTTTAAGGAAGTAAGAGATCCTTCCTAAGAGTCAGATCTGGATCCCACAGCATCTGCTGGCTTGTGACATTGGCACTGTCCATCTGGAATAGTGAGGTATCCCCTCATGCCTTGCTGCATGTCCCTTCTTTTCAGTATATACTAGAAAAGTAGTCATGTGAACCAGAAGTAAAAAGAAAATGCCATTTCACCAGAGAATCTGGACATTTTAGGGGATGACATGGGAATCTTTGTGATAGGATTTATTGCATTTCCTACTCTCTGACCTTTGCTGACTCAGCTTTGCTCTCTGAAGTGAGAGTACAAGGCTGGTGCAAGCTGATGTTCCAAGACATGGAGAAGAAAAAAATACTTTCTTTCCTCAGGCAAAAAAAATAGCTACTATGTTTACTTGGACATTACTCTAGACCACAGAATAAAGACTGAGCTATAATAAACCTGCTTTGAGGCCCTTTCTGTGGGGATATATGGGAATGAGAGATTCCAGATCCTCCAGGCTCAGCAGTTTCACTTCATGACCTACAAGGACTGTAGCTACTCAGAAGTAGCACCGCATAGTGATCCCAGTGTCCAGTAGCATAGTGCCTGGAACATAAAAGACTCCCAATAAATACTTGTTAAAGGAATAAATGAATTGAAGGCTTTGTTTATTCTGTGAAGCTTAGGGAATATTTGGGGCTGTATATCAGGTTGCATTTGCTCTTTGTGTTAGTGTTAGCCAGATTAAGGGTAGAAATTCCTTATGATGATGAAAACACCTAAGATTAATTAGCTTCAAAATATAAGATGATGTAACTTATACTTTCTTTTGCAGTGCCCGTGTGAAAGCTGGAGAAAGTGTTCTGGTTCATGGGGCGAGTGGAGGAGTAAGTATTTTTTTAGTATATTTTGAAACAAGCTTGAGTTTATTTCATTATAGTTCCTTTGGTCATTTTTAAAAGTCAGATTTATAAATATAGTCAAAGATTTTTTTTTTTTTTAATGTAGTAAAACTTTTTTGATTTTGGTCTTCTGAAGGTGACAGTCATTAGTTTAGCATTTCTTGGTTAATAAACCCAACACAGCACCCCTTCAAAAATATGTTAGATTTCCCACCTGTAGTGGGTGTGGACTAAGATAAACTGGCCTTGTTTTTGCCTTCAAGTAGCATATAAAAATATTTATTTAGAATTTTAAACAGTTCTTTAAGGTCGATATTAATTCCATATTCCCTTAGATAAGGAAACTAAGGCTCATTAAAGCTTACCTATGTTGCCCCAGACAGCACGGTAAAGCTACACTGTGAATTCTTAGTCCTTTCTATCTCCCTTCCTTCCGCTGCTTGCCTGCTGTGCTTTGATGACATTCATGGAGTGCAGTGTACAGGCCTGTCCTTAACACCACAACCCATGGCTGAAAATGCTAATGTGGGGGAATGGAGGAGGAGGACTCTGAACTTAAAATAAGCCCTTCAGTGAAATCATCCAACACAGGGCTGTGAGAAACCTCTTCAGGAAACTAGCTGCCAATCTGCCTCTCAGGAGCTTAGAGCGAAAAGTTAGAGCTCTCCAGTTAGAATTTAACAAGAAATCCATACGAACTCTATCAATGGATGCTTTGGAAATTTTGGAGATAAGATTTTGCATTTTAAAAATAAAAGGCCTGGGGCTAGATACTTACTTTGAGGAAGCTGTTAACCCTTACAGAGCACTGTGTATTCTGGAGAGTGGATTGAAAGAAGTAACATATTAAATGGCTCGTTGTCCCCTGAATAATGATTGGTATCTTGAAAATGTGAATTTACCTTTAAAAGTAAAAGAACAGGTAGTTTCAGTCCTTTTTGTCTCTGTTTCTTAGGTAGATGAATCACGAGGTTTCACACCTAGCTTCCTACACTTCCAATAGATCAATTCTAAAGGATTTCACAGATCAGACAATTTATTAAAAAACACCAGGATTGTCTTTATGGGGCTTGAGAAAATATGGCAGATACACCTTGTCCAAAACTCCCATTGTTTAACTTCACTGAAGAGGCTATTTTTGGGTTAAATTAAATTTAACCCTAAATAACGAAAGGATCTGTCAAACACATACATTTATTTAAATTACCCTGGCTTTCAGAGAGCTAACATCGGGCTTTGTGCAGAAGGGAAAGATTTCAGTAGAAAAGGGAGAGAAGAGTTTAAAGAAAATCTCTTTATATTCCCTTTACCCTCTTGTAAGAAGCCCAGTTGCTTCACCATGATTTTTTTTTTTTTTTTTTTTTTAAGGTAAAATCCACACTGTTCTCTGAGCTGGCTGAGTTTGTTAAATCCTCGGCTGGCAGGGATAGGCTGGTGACCTGGTGTGTGAAGCGCTTCTGATCCTCCCTGTCCTATCAGAGGGAAACAGTACTGGGTTTTGCCTTGCTTCTGTTTGTACTTTCTGTCCTCATTTAATTCAAATTCCTTGGGGATTATGTTGTGTGTTTAAAATGGTGTGGAATTTATGAACACAGCTATTATCCAGATATGTTGGTGAGGAGTGCCCTATTTTAGTGTTAGCAAAATAAGTAGAAGAAAAATAGTTGACACATACATAATGGTACATAATCTGTTGAAGGAGTATTGCTGGTATAATTGTTGACAAGAATAGAATAAACAGTGCCTTTTTAAAAGAGCTATTGAGTACCCTTTTAAAGCAGTTAGAACATCAGGAGATGTAGTTACATTAGCTTTTTAAAGTATGGTTTTATTAGAGGTCTTCTATTTAAATTTGAAAATTAAAGTAGAAAATCAGTTGGGCCCACCCCATAGTGGATTGCGTTTTATCTAATTGGATGTTTCTCTCCTCCGTCAGACAGTGAGTTCCATGTATTTGTTTGTTTCAGTTAAGCAAATTCCTGCCATAACCTGGCTGAGTCCAGCCTCGTTATTCCCCTGTGCCATATAATCTTGAAGGTCCATTTCAGGCCTGGAAATCTGTTACAACTTTAATCTGTTTCTATCATTAGTTTTCATCTTAATTCTTTTCTTGCCCAACCCGGTCCTCCCTGTACATCACTGATTATGAGTAGCGGGTGATTTTGCATCATTTCTCCTTCCGCTCTGGGACATCTGGCAGTGTCTGAAGACATATTTGGTTGTCACAACTTGGGGAAGGGTTTCTGGCATCTAGGGGGTAGATACTCTTCAATACATGGGATAGTCTCCCACAGCAAATCAGTATCTGGCTCAAAATGTCAATAGTGCCAAGTTTGGGAAACTCTGTTCTAAATGTATGTGACACTTATTTGTATAATCATCTGTCATCTAATCAGATATATTTCCTAGTATTGTTATTTAAATAATTGCTCTTTTGTCTGTCTTCTTAAACTACTTTGATTTCTCTTTTATGCTAAGCTAAGCACATTGATCTGGTATTCTAGTGATTTCTTACAATCCCAGCACTTTGGGAGGCTGGGATTTTACCAGGTTGCCCAGGCTGGTCTCGAATTCCTGACCACAGATGATCCACCCACCTCAGCCTCCCAAAGTGCTGGGATTACAGGCATGAGCCACCATGTTCCACTTAATCTTTTGGCTTTAAATACCGTCTGTAAGATAATGAATCTTTAACATATATCTCCAACTGAACTCTTTTGAGTCCATACTCATATTCACCTGATTGCTGAACATCTTCCCCTTTAAGTAGATGAGCACTGTACAGCTCAACATGTTCCAAGTGGTTCTTTTATTTTTATTTTTTAGAGACAGAGTCTTGTTCCATTGCCCAGGCTGCAGTGCAGTGCAGTGCATGATCACTGCAACCTCAAACTCCTCAAAGTCCTGGGCCCAAGTAGTCCTCCCACCTCAGCCTCCCACATAGCTGGGATTACAGGCATGCACCACTACACTTGGCAAAGTGAAATCTGGAGATTTTCACAAACTTAGTGCTCTCCAGTCTCCTTCTCAGTTACTCTACCCAGTTAATCTGGCCAAAGACATAGGAGACATCCTGTATTTTTCTCTTTTCCTCATCTCCCGCATTCAATCTGGGAGGAAGTCGCATTAGCTTACTTCTAAACTATATCTGAATGTGTTTATTTTTTCCAGTGCCACCACCTTTGTTCAAGCCAGCTTCATCTCTTATCTAGACTGTTCTAACAGCTACAAACTGATCTTCCTCCTCCCATTTTCCTCGCCGCCTTCGTTGTACCTCACATATAATTGGAGCAACCTTTTTAAAGCCTGAGTCAACCAGATCATTTCCTGGCTTAAGCTCTCCAGTGGTTCTGCATAGTTTTTAATATACTCAGAAGCCTCTACCTTCACCCCTCAGATCCTATGTGACTCGGCCTTTCTGGCCTCATCTTCGACCCTTTCGCACATGCCCCTTCCTGAACCACACTGCCCCTCTTTCTGTTCTTTGACCCCAACTGCATTCCCACCTCCCCAGGTTAGCCGTGGCCATTCACTCTGCCCACGGCATCCTCCACATGGCCGATCGGATGTTCTTGTGGCTTGTTCCTCACTTTTTTCAGGTCTCGTTTTTTCAGTGACCCTTCTTGATGACCTAAATAGCCCCTATTCCTATCTCTCTAACACAACAGCCAGTCTTATTTTTTCTTAGCGCTTTTATTTCCTGAATTTATTTTATTCGTTCAATTTGTTCATATGACGATTATCTTCCTCCACCCTTAGAATGTAAATTTATTTCTTACGTTAAGTACCATGTCTAGCACATCGTAAACACTCTATAAACATTCACCATATGGATGAATTAGTTAATTTGCCCGTATACCTGTCTCTTCTACTTAAATGTTAGAAGCCTTACATTTGTTATTTAGAATTTCGTATGCACAAAGAAGTCAGAGAGCATGTTCTGATCATCTTTAAACCCTGCAAACATATTGATGCAGTGGTTAAAAACTCAAGTTCTGCAGTCAGACTGGTCTAGCTCCTCCTGTTTCCATCTCTGCATGTGACTTGGCCAAATTACTTATAATTTGAAGCTTTAACTTTCTTATCTGTAAAATAGGGACAATAATAGTATCTACTTTATAGGGTCATTGTGAGAATAAAATAAAGCAATATGTAGAAATTATTTAGTATGGTTCCTGGAATATTTTAAATGCTCAATTAAAGTTAGCTCTTTTTCTTATTTCTTCATTTACACTCTTAAGTTCCTTAAAGTTAGGGTGGGTCCCATAGGAATCTTAAGTTCCTTGTATGTATTTAAGTGTTTGCAGGAATGCAGAGAATATGTAACTCTTGGGTTGTATTTGTTTTTCAGGTTGGATTAGCAGCATGCCAGATTGCTAGAGCTTATGGCTTAAAGGTTTTGGGCACTGCTGGTACTGAGGAAGGACAAAAGATTGTTTTGCAAAATGGAGCCCATGAAGTGTTCAATCACAGAGAAGTGAATTATATTGATAAAATTAAGGTAAAATTTTCCACCATTTTACAAATGTCAAACTTTGTTCCTTGGAGACTTACGTGGTTTTTTAATACGTTTTTAACCAACTACTCCTTTAAAGCTGTTTGCTTCCGTTTTTCAGTGCCTAGATGAGTTTTTATGCGTGTTTTAAAACTTTATTTAAAAAACAGAGGTGTCTAAGTTTTAAACCTTCACTATCATTTTTGTATTGTTTATGTGTATTAAGTAGAATATAGCTTCTCTAGAATCTTATAGCTATAAAAATTGATTTTTTTAATGCAAATAACTTTTTAAGTAAAGCTGCAGCTTTGTATTTGCAGCTGTGAGGTATTCTTAATATAATTTCAACTGATGTGAATTCTCCATGGAAGGTGAGATATCCATAGATTACAAACCGGATCTGTGTGGCCCAGGGAATGAAGTTCATTTGTTAGCTGGATGTTTTGGAGGAATAATCAGTACTGCATCCAAAATGGTGAGGTGGCATTTGGTTAGTTGCTGCATTTAACAGAATTCAAGCAGATTCTGAAGTTCTTCACTTGTACTATAGTAGCAGTTTGCTAAACACTTATTGCTTTGCTAATCCTCAACCACTTCCTCATGTTAGGGAGATTAGAATTTCCCAAATATTGAGTACTGTGTAAACTAGATCATTACAAATGAAGGAAAAAATAAGAGTGAGAATTTATTACCTTTTTGGCAATCATCTTACCAAAAAGCCCAGCAAAAGCACTCCTTTGTTATACGTCTGGGAAACCTAAGATCTAGCACTCACTGCTGATACCATTATCCAAGAATATTCACAAAGATGAAAAATGGCCTGTTATTTTAATAGTATGGTTTTTGTTTAGCAATAATCTAATTTTAAGATCATGAGGTCTTGGGAGCTTCAACTGACTCCTTCTGCTTAAGTCTCTCCCATTCTCAAAAACATTCTCTTAACCTTTATCTCACCCCCCTCTCTCACGTCCTCTTTCCCACAAAACTTCTTGAAAAAGTAGTATTTATTGGTTTTACTTCCTTACCGTCCATCACTTCTCACTGCAGTTTTGCTTATAGCCCAAGTATTTATACTGCTTCTCAGAAGTCACTGAGAAGCTCCTAATTAACAGTCTGCTGGTCTTCTTTCAGTCCTCATCTTGTTTGATTTTTCAGGAGCATATGACCCTGACCACATTTCTTTGAAACTGGTTCTCTTCTTACTTTCCTGACTTTTCACTTTCAGTCTCCCCCTCTTCATGTTATTTAATATTCATATTCCTTAGGTTGTTTTTGCTTGGTCTCACATCTTCCCTGGTGCTAGACTTTCATCCTGATCAGTCTCATATACTCTTGTGGCTCCCTTAATACCCGTATGCTGTTGATTTCCAAAACTGTCTTTGGCATGAGTTGACTTCCTTCATGCCATCAACCCGCTAGACATTGCTACTCATCTGGTCCCCCAAGAGAGAAACCTTCATTTTATTTGTTTTTCCTGTCTTTTAATTATCATTTTCCCTCCCACCCAGCAAGTTGGTTACCTCATTTTATCAGTTTCTTCTCTGACATGCCTTTCAAATGTATTTCCTTGTCTCTATTCCACTCACTACCATAACTTAGTTTAGGCCTCAGTTTCTCCAGCCTTGACTGTTATTCATAACTGGGCTAATAAAAAAACTACAGAAACAACTAAAATGGAAGCTTTATGAGGACAGGAGTTTTGTCTGTCTGTTCCCTACTGTACTTGCACATGCAATAATAAACACCTGTAGAAAACAACAACAAAAACACAATCCAAATCCTTTAACATGGCATTCACTGTATTTTCACTATCTGTCCCAACTTACTGTCTCCTCTCTCCTACCTCTTCCTCTTCCTGCCACTCCCCCTTACCTGATTATGTACTTCAGCTCCACTTGTATTTCAGTCCTGTGGTCTCAGTCCCCTCCATCTTTGCTTTTCTGTTTCTTTGGTCCAGACTGACTCAGCCTCAGATCTAACTTCCCCTTACTCATCTTCCTTTCTTTTGGCTTAGGAAACTCCTATTCATCCCTCAGGGCCAAGTTCATCGTCTCTGTGGAACTTTCTCTGACCGTGGCAGGCAATCAAACCTTAACCTTTTTTCTCTGTATTGTATGATTTATTTCTGCTAATGTGTTACTTAGCCCATTGCATTATAGCTATGACTGTAGTATTTCCTGTCTTTCTCACTAGTTTTGTTTTGAGCTCCCTTTGTTTGTCTTTGCATTCCTAGTACCTAGTGTAATCCCTGGCACAAGGATTCATTTGTGTGTGTATGTTAATATAAAATGAATATAATGTAGATGTGTGTAGCTTTTTCTAAGAGCCAGCATCCATCATCCAAGAGCCCAAAAGAATTAATGCGTTAAACAGATTATAAACCATTTAGAACAAAACCAGATGCACTAAAACAACAAAAATCATGAAAAACCAAACAGCTAATGATATTTTCTTTTGCTTTTTGTTTATTAATAAAAATGGGAGCCCCTTGGGGCTTTGGGACTTTTGATTTGTTGTTTCTTTATGAAATTTTATTTTAAAGATAGAAAATTTTCAGCTAAGGAAAACTATTTTATACTCAAGTTGAGTCTAGCACCTGAAAATTCCAGGCAAATATTATTTCATTACATCAATGTATTTAGTACAAATCTTTAGCATTTTAGATGTTCTGGCTGGTACCTTGGAATTACATCATAGTTATATAATTAGATTATTTAAAATTTTGCATTATTAGTTTCAAAGATGTAGCATTTATATATCATTTGAAACATATTTTTATAATATCTTGTATAGATAGTAGCTATTTTACAGTTTTTCACTTGCTATCTTACTCTACATTTCTCTTTTATTATATAGAAATATGTTGGTGAGAAAGGAATTGATGTAATTATTGAAATGTTAGCTAATGTAAATCTTAGTAAAGACTTGAGTCTTCTGTCACATGGAGGACGAGTGATAGTAAGTATTCCTTTTCTTTTTTTTTTTTTTTTACCATTTTAATGTTTTACCATAATTTAACACTATTTTGCAGTAATCTTTAACTGTAGACTTGCCGTTTTTCATTTTAGGTTGTTGGCAACAGAGGTACTATTGAAATAAACCCAAGGGACACCATGGCAAAGGAGTCGAGTATAATTGGAGTTACTCTCTTTTCCTCAACCAAGGTAGGAAAAGAAGTACTTCTGATTTTGATAACTTAAACATTGGTACAGTTTGCCTATTCAGGCAAACAGAAAGTTTGAGTAGATGTTAAACTTAGTTATATGACTAGAGGGAGTTGGAAAGGATTAGTCACCAGAAGGACAGCTAGGGTGACAATATAATTTATATCCAAGTAAGCATACCTTTTGAGTTAGAAATGTGATACTAGTAATTATTTCAGGACAGTAGGTATTTTGTATACTAACACTGTCTCGGGCACATAGGATTTATGGTTATCATGTAGAGAACTACTTTTTCTATTGTTATGGACAAGTTGACAAAAGTCACATATTTGTAAGAGACTATGGTATAACACTTAGATTCTGAAGTTTTTTTAATGCTTCTGAAAATTAAATCATGGTTCACTACAAAAAGAAATTTATTTTTCCTTTTTCTTAGGAGGAATTTCAGCAATATGCAGCAGCCCTTCAAGCTGGAATGGAAATTGGCTGGTTGAAACCTGTAATAGGTTCTCAATATCCATTGGAGAAGGTGGCCGAGGCTCATAAAGATATCATTCATGGCAGTGGGGCTACTGGAAAAATGATTCTTCTCTTATGATTAATTCTTTCATGGATTTCCTGTGTAATCAGAGGTACTGTCTTTCCCCCAGTTGTACTTACCCTATCTTTTCTTTAATTAATATTCGATTCCATGAGTTTCTTACGTGAAAAAATAAGATTTTTCTTTAAAGAACAGAGGCAGAAGAGTAAAATTCATTGTATTGCTAGCAATATATTTTTTATGCCATCTGTCTCAAATCAAGGAGTCATCATAGTAGGAAATAGCATGTTAGTCATCGTTTGGCATGAGGGTGCATTCCAGTAATTCTTAATTGATACTTGATTAATTCCATACCTTTGATTAAAACATGCTAGTTCAAAATAAGACTGCTCAGTTTCCAAGGGTTTTCAAGCCTACTTACCTTTGTAAAGGTTCTCTAGTCTCTGATTAGCCATGGCTGTATTGGACTTGGAACATTTTCTGGACTCAAAACCTCTACTCTAAACTAACCTCATTTGGATGTGTAAGTCTTTTGTAAAGGCAAAAATAAATAATGTCCAGGATAATTTATTAGTTTTCTCAGTATTTTCCCAAATATTAGAATATTTACTTCATTATTGGTTGGCTGCCAATGACCCCATATGTTCTGTGAGAATGCGAGCTTTATCTTCGATATACTGCATAGTCTCCAAATAGGTAATACTTCTCAATTGATTAGATTTTCAGAGTAAATTTAGAGTTATCTGTTTGTCTGGTGAGGGTCATACATTTTGTTGAAATAATTAAGCTCAAAAATTTGATAAATGAAGAATTATCTTCATTTGTCTCAATAATGTGTAATAAAATCTAGAGAAAATCAAAACCTGCTTTTCCAGTTTTTATAGTGTTTGCCTCTCATCACTTCTGCATAGCTCCTGACAGTTACTTCTTAACAGTGTTCTATGCTGGAAGCCTTTATCTAAACTAAATACAGGGATGACCTCTTAGCAATCTTGCCATCAATATTGTATTCAAGGAAATAAAAGTTTGATTATTTGTTATTTTTGTTTTTCATCACATGAGCACATCCTTTTGTCGTGTCACATTATGTGGTTGATTGTTTTGACCTGATTTGTTCTGTTGAATGACAATTTCTGGCTTGAACGTGGAATCCTGTTTCAGTAATAAACAGAAAATACTGCTAATTTCTATAGTTGAAGGATATCATTGGCTTCTGGCTATATGTGCCATGACTGAAATGTTTTTGCTATTAGCATTTTCCAAGTTTATCCACTGTTTCTCTTATAGGTTAAATGCCCTGTAAAATTACTAAAAAAAAAAAAAGAAAAGTGTTAAGGCAATGCCATCAATATAGGCTAGCATTTTATGTGCATCCTAAAATGGAGGATTCCTTTCCATGCAACAAGGTAAAAGAATAATTATTCTGTAAAAGTCAGTTTAATCTGTTTGTACATTTGCCTCATCTATAGAAAGAGCTAAAGCATACAGATGACTTAACACTTCAAAATACATCGATACAGTTTAATTAATTTTGAAGGCAAAACTAGCCAAACTGTATGCATTAACTACTATTTTTATGAATATGTAGCACTAGGTATGTTCTCTGCATAAATCTCTATGGTTTTAGTCTTGTTCCAACTTTCAACCAACTGCATTCACTACTTGGTTGGTGCCTGTGGCCTTAGGGCTACTACATAGTTATCAGTGCTCGTTCTTGATGAAAAGTAGAGAATAAACTGTATAATAAACAAACATTGTTTAACTCAGTCTTTTGAATGTCTGTTCTTGGTTGCTTTGACTTCTGTGACCTAGTCATATAATGTTTTAGAGACCAAATTGGTCAGCACCATGAGCCCAAATAGGTGAATCAACATACCAAAGGTCACATGACTAGGAGATTCAAATTCAGCTGACTTTTTTGTAGGCTGTCGATATAAAATCATACATTTAAATTTCCAGGCCTTTGGCTTTCCTTGCTCACTGTACCTCTGGCTTCTCTAATAGATTATTCTATGCATCCATTAGTCCAACAAGTATTTATTGAGTACCTAGAGTCTGAGAAAGTACCCTGTTGAATTTTGAAAATACAGAGATGTGTAAGACAGAGTCCATATCCTTGAGCTTATAGTTGAGTAAGGATGAGACCCAAGTAAAACATTTTAGAATATAAGAGGTGTCATACAGGGTTCTCCAGACAAGCAATCAAAATACAATGAGATGTGTTTGAAAGAATTTGCTCATGCAATTATGGGTACTGGCAAGTTAAAATCTGTAGGGCAGGCCAGCAGGCTAGAAATACAACTAGTTTCTATTGTTGCAGTCTTGCAGAATTCTTTCTCTGGGAAATGTTAGTTTTTCTTCTTAAGGCTTTCAACTGATTGGATGAGGCCCACCTGCATTATTGAGGGACATCTCCTTAAAGTCAACTTAAAATTTTGTATAAACACATAAGTAGGACATGATGACTATGTTGACACAGAACTAACTATCCCAAGGGTTGGGCTCTTAGTGTAGCTTGGGATTTGCAATCACACCTTTAATATATTTGATGTTAGCTGTCTCCCTCCACAGTAGCTTTAACCATAGAGGTAAAAAATAGGATGCTTCTGAAAGGAAAACAAAAAACAAAAAAACTAGCATTTTATAATGCCCTTAACTCAGCCTGTTGAGGCAAGAAATTATATGTGTGCCACGGGGCTTCCTCAATTCGTAGTATAAAGAGCTTTCTTTTTCTACACACTTTCCAAGAACAGCAAAACCTGTCAGGTCACTTTGACCTACCTCTTTCCACCTCCTTGACCATATCTCGCAAACAGAAAAACACCTCAGCTCAATCCTCCATCATTTCTAATGCTTTCATTTTTTTAGTACAGTGCGTTAAAAAGTCATTTAAAAATTGTCATATGACAATTTTGCTAATTCATAGGGCTCATACTCCAAGGACAAGGCCTAGGAAATGTTATAGAAAGAAACGTAACTTCACTTTGGTCTGTGTCGACCCCTAAGTCATACATAGAGACAGTCCATGTATGTCGTTAAAAGGGAGTCTAATACTGATCCCAAAGTTATGTGATATGGATGTTCATTAAGCGTGCTAAATATAACTACAGGTAGCAGTCCCTGATTTATTCATTCCCAACTTCACGTAAAAATACCCACAAAACTCCAGTAGTACAAGACAGTGAAGAGAAAACCATGTGCCAAAATCCACTGGGAATTTCTGACATCAGTGTCAATCATATGATTCAGTGAACCAAATTATCTACAGAGTAGGCAGGAAAAAGCCACAACTCAATCACTGCCTCTAAGTTGGGACACAGGAGGTACACTGCTTGGAAAACCAAGCCCCCCTGCCCCCCACCACTTTTTTTTTTAAACCAGAAATCATCTGAACTAGCTAGAGTTGAGGTCTAGGTTCACCCCACAGTATCCTTCAGCTCCTTGCTTTCACATGCATTTTAGAGTCTACAGGTTTCAGTTTTCAGTACAGCTATAGATTAAGGAGGAAGACGGACTGCACCCTCAGATGTCACCACAGAGAAAATCTTGCAAATGGATGGAGAATAGTGGAATTGCTGGAGAAATACAAGACTTGTGCAAACAACATTTGTCTGACTCGAGCAAAGCCAGATAATGTAGAAACTGGAGCAGAAGATGCCCATGCCTTAGTCCAGCAGGCCCTGGAATTGACACAGAGTATTGAAGAGGCTAGCTCACTCCAGATATTGATCTGGAAGAAACTGAGCTCTCTTATGGGCAGGGAGGAAGGCCACAGGTACAGCTCTGGTATAGTTGTCGAGAGCATGGGTTATGAAGGCAAAGAAACTGGATTTAAAGCCTAGCACTATTATTGACCAGCTATGGAATCCTAGGCAAATTAATTATTTGGAGCTTCAGTTTCTCATACGTAACATGGGAAGAAAGGGAGGTCAGAATTGTAAGAATTAAATGAGCTAATGGTCATGTATTACTTAGCACTCTGTCTTGCACAAACACGTGTTTAAATAATTAATAATATTTTTGTTAGCCAAAGAAGAGTAGATTGGGGCAAAGAGGAGGAATGAAGAGAGAGCATCCTGAAATATGAAAAAAGGAATCCCAAATGCAAATCCCCAGAGTAAGTGCAAACGAGCATAACTAACATTACAGAAAACTTGGTCACATGAACAAATTTCATAACTCTCCAAAAGTATAGAGAAAAATGAAGAAAATAATATGATAGAACAGACAAAAAGCAAAAACCTTTAAATTATAGGGATGGCCCCTAAATTTCACAGAATAATGAAAGAAATAATAATTAAGGAAAATTCCTGGCCTAAACCAAAGAGCTAAGTTTATTCACTGGTAATATTAATTAGGTTTGTGTAAAATTAATGAAGACCTGGAAATAAGATAATATCCTTTAAATGTTTAAATTTCACATAGATTTGGAAGGGAGCATGCTGAAGGATCATTATTTACAATTATGTTATTCAAAACCTAGAAAATGCAAGAGAACAAATAGGAAAACTATTGATAAGTTAAGAAAACTGGTTAATTATATAATAAATATATATAAATTAATATGCATCAGTAATGATTCATATTAGAAAATTAGAAAATAATGAAAAAAGATCTCTTTCACAATTGCCATGCCACTACTATCACTAATTTTAAAAGCAGTGAGAAAGCCCGGCGCGGTGGCTCAAGCCTGTAATCCCAGCACTTTGGGAGGCCGAGACGGGCGGATCACGAGGTCAGGAGATCGAGACCATCCTGGCTAACACGGTGAAACCCCGTCTCTACTAAAAAAAATACAAAAAACTAGCCGGGCGAGGTGGCGGGCGTCTGTAGTCCCAGCTACTCGGGAGGCTGAGGCAGGAGAATGTCGTAAACCCGGGAGGCGGAGCTTGCAGTGAGCTGAGAATCCGGCCACAGCACTCAAGCCTGGGCGACAGAGCGACGACTCCGTCTCAAAAAAAATAAATAAATAAATAAATAAATAAATAAAAGCAGTGAGAATTACCTTATGTGTGTAATTGGATTGTTTGTAATTCAAAGGATAAATGCTTGAGGGGATGGATACCCAATTCTCTGTGATGTGCTTATTTCACATTGCATGCCTGTGTCAAGACATCTCATGTACCCCATAAATATGTACATGTGCTATGTGCCTACAAAAATTTAAGAACAAACAATTTTTAAGTAGTAAAATACAAGCTACCAAATTTACAAGAACACACAGGACCTTTACAAAGAAAACTACAGAAGTCTCATGGAGGACAAAAGATTACTCAAAGAAATGATTCTTGGTCAGATTCATGTGAAGATTCTCCCTTCATACGCTAGAATGTCAAAGTGATTTATATCAAAATCTCAATACGAATTTTTAGAAACTTGACAACATATTTCTAAAGTTTTTTTTGAGGGGGAGGGGGGCGGGGGAGGGAGTGGCAGGGGGAGAAAAAGGCAGCCAGAAAAAATCAGAAAAGAAAATGAGCTGGAACCAGTCCCAGCAGATGTGAACATTTTTTTCCCAAGTTAGAGTTACTAAGGTGGAATCATATTAGCTCAACGATAACTAGATTAGTGGAACAAAATAGAGTCTAGGTATGCTGCTCCCTTTTGTGGATGGTAAAAATGGCTTTTCATTGGGGAGAGAGGTTATTCAATAAGAGAACTAGCTCCCCATTTGGGAAAAAAAGTAAATATTCAACTTCACTTCGAGCATCAAAAACTTTTAGATGAGCCTGGTGCAAGTGGCTCACATCTGTAATTGCAGCACTTTGTGAGGCTGAGGCGGGCGAATCACCTGAGGTCAGGAGTTCGAGACCAGCCTGACCAATATGGCAAAACCCCATCTCTACTAAAAATACAAAAAAAAAAAAAAAAAAAAAAAATAGCTGGGCTTGGTGGTACACGCCTGTAATCCCAGCTACTCGGGAGGCTGAGGCACAAGAATTGCTTGAACCCAGGAGGCAGAGATTTCGGTGAGCCGAGATTGTACCACTGCACTCCAGTCTGGGTGACGGAGCCAAGACATGGTAGAATATTTTTATAATCACGAGGGATGAAAAGCCTTACACCATTACTCAAAATCCCAAACTATAAAAGAACAAGAAAAATGGGAAAAGTAGAAAAAGATCTCCAATAACAGATAAAAATATTAACCTTAAAAAATTCTCCAAACTAATTAGTAAATTCAAAACATCCCACAAGAGAAATGGACATGAATGGATACAAGACAAAATACATATAACCAGTGAACTTATGGAAGGAGTTGTTTATTCTCACTAGTAATAGAGGAAATGGCACTCATGTACTATTGGTAGGAGTATAAAATTGATTCTGTTCTGGAGAGCAGATACGTAATGTCTTTAAATTTTAAAATGTGGATTTCCTTTGATCCATTAATTCCACTAGAGAAATTTATCCTAAAGAGATAGATATATCTGGAAAGATGTGCCAAAATTGTTTTCATTGCAGCATTCCTTATTATAGTACAATATTGGAAACGACTTAAATTTCCATCAACTGCATGATTAAAATGCCAAAACATCCATACAGTGCAATACAATGTATCTATTATAATGACAAAGTGGACCCGTAGTTCTAGACGTGGGAAAATGTTTAAGGCATAGTATTAAGAGTATTATTAATAAGTTTAAAAAGCAGATATGGGAGGTATGTAGTATAATTCTACTTCTATATAATTCTTGTGTATGCATTTCAAGAGATTCCTAGTAGATAGTTATCAAAATGATTTGTCTTAGTGCTGAGATTATAA